AACTTTAGCTTAATGTGGTCAGCTGGTTTGCAGATAACACAATTTGAACCTTTCTGCCATTTGCAGGAAGTTGAGAACTTGGTTAATGCATCTTGTGTCACTGAAAGGATAACTTTGGCAATTTGGCAGGCAAATTTACAGAAGTATTGGAACTCCTCTCCTTACTATTTGGCTGAGGAAAGTGATGTTTTGAAGAGTAAGGATTCAAATTTTTGAATTCTTACTACTCCTTTTTCTGAGGAAATGTCATACCACTTGTTTAGGAATGGATAAAGCCACTTATTAACTTATCTGTAAATGATTGTCACTATCATTTTGTATCAACCCAAACGTGCAGGGCCATGACTAGCCTGGCATCTGCAGAGCGAACTCTTAAGCTCTCAGCCCTGTATTCTACCTTATCTGATACTTGTATTTTATGCATGCTGCAATACGAGCAGATTGTCGTTTCAAGTACTCATCATGGACCCTTCTTTCAGAGGTTTTCTTTTCTTTTTGAAGATTCCTTTCTTACATTTTTCCTCCTGAGAATTTATGAAGGTCTACAATGCAAATCAGGGAAGCTACATAATTCTGAAAGAAAAAAACATGTGGTTCAGGTGATTCATTTCAAGTACAGTTTGGAAAACATTTTCTGTTAGACTGGTCAATCTTACTGAGTCTTTGAAAATTAATCTCTCTTTCTGCATTATCTTATAATTGATACTATGATTATGGATTATTTGATGCTCCGGCTTATGTCCATACTGCATAGTATCAAAGTTCCGATCTTATATAGCTGGCATACCCCCCTCTGCATAACTTGACATTTAATGTCTTGTTATTCCATATCTGACATTCAGAACTTCAGATTTTACATGTTACTTTATATGAACCTTTGCTAGTTTCAGATTTCTGATCTTCTGTACATCACAAATTATGTTTCTAGAAACGAAAGGAATGGATATAGAAAGATTTTCGGATAGGAGCTTGGAGAGGGACAAGTCAAAGCCACCATTGACGCACTCCATAAGGATGGATTCTGCCCATGTTCCTGCAGAACTAGCCAAAGGTTTTGTATTCCTTAATTCCTTAAATTCTTTGACATGTTGCTTATTCAGATCGCTTGAACCTATTTTCTTTGCTTACTTAAATGCTTTTATGATTATAAATATAATAGGTGGAACGGAGGACAGACATGCTGCAAAAAGAGTGCGTTGGAACCCAGAGTCAGGTGAAGTACCATGACTTATCTTTCTTTCTTGCTGTTTGGTCTTTGTTGTCTGCAAAGCTTCATGAAATGGTTGTTTAATGGTATAGGCCGAGGACAGTTATTGAAGAATTTGTGACATGAAGCACTAATGCAACCCCTGGTCAAAATTTGACCTAAAACTTCTGATGTGACCTCGTAATGTTGCTATGGAACCTTTGGAGGATATCTTTATGTTCTATCTTATTTATTCAATAGTAGATCTAAAACCTGTTTGATTTTCCTTTCTATTTCATACAACAACTACGCCTCAATCCCAATGGTTAGCATTATTCCCTTTCTTTCTCTTTCATATATGGACATTCCGTAGATCTTCTGAAGTGTTGACTGTTGAGTTGCAAATCATGTTCTCTGAACATACCTTGCATAAAATCTTTACACTTTGGTTTGTTAATAAAGTTATTTACCTTATCCAAAAAAAAAGTCTTTACACTTTGGTAATAGAAGTATTGATTTATAGCCGAACTGTTTGAATAACCTGCATCAGAACCTCTAGCAAAGCATCATGAACACATTGCCTGGCAGAGGTCAGCTTTGTACCAAATGTACTTGGCGACACCCAAATAATGATCATTTGCAACTACGTACCTGAACATCCTATTGCTTGCATATGGCATAATTGCTTCAAGTTGAGTGAATCAATCCATTGATCAGAGGAAGAGCTCTTTAAAGACGCCAAGCTGGGCTTGGAACCTTGGTTTAGCTCATGTGATATGCACAATGCACATTGTGTCTTTGTCAATTTCTGTAGACACAATGTACTTGATCAGTTTGGATGCCAACAAAGTGGCCAAGACGATAAAAAGAAACAGAAGATAAAACAAAAAAGGAGACTAATCCTTACCTTTTATCAAAAACAAAAAGGAGTCGATTCTTTTCTTCTACAACTTTATTTTGTATCTTTTCTACTTGAAAGATTTCTTAAGAGTGAGATTGCATTGGTTCTATGCATCCCAAGAAGCTCATGATCTGGTGAGGGCGCTCTATTTATGAGTGCTGAACAAGCTTATCTTATTGCCGGGGAAAGAGATCTGGTCCATCTTTTTCCTTTGAACATTAATTTGTCAATAGACAGATTCTTGGACTCCTTATACTTCTCTTTGTACATTGACAAGTCTGTGAAACGATTGTACAACTTTAGCTATTTGCGTGACCCTGCACAAAAGAAAGCTCTTCTCCACTTGTGATATGTTTCATTAAGTGGGTATGTGCTTTGGTGGTGGGCTAGGGTTCTCAATGATCTTGTAAGTCATGTAAGTTCCTTGTATTTGGACTACAACTACCCTATCCAAAAGAAGTTGTCACGTTGAAAAGAAAAACGGATGCTTTTCTCTCTTTTGCCTTCCGTTTGTTGTAATTTATCGAGCTCATGAAATTGTTTTTTGGTGACAGACATGCAAAAATTGGATCTTTTGGAGAAGCTTGATCAAAAGTCTAAGGTTAAACCTCTATGTATATAAAAAAATGTTTACTTCGAGGTGTTTTAGCAAAAAAGTTAACTTGTCTACTGCAATGTTTATCTTTTGATTGTTATGTTTCTTTTTCACTGCAAATGCTTAGGGTGATGATGAAAAAAAAAAAGATGGTGAAGATGAGGACGAAGAACAAGAGGAGAAGACTGCAGATGAGGAAGAAGAATTTAGTGATGACGGAGATTACAATCAGGTATGTGGGAGAACCTTCTGCTTCCTTAACTTGACAGCCATGTTTAAGTAAACTTGAAATCAGAATGCTTTGTATATTCCTTTAGATTGAATTATACTTGCATTACTTGCCAATTGTTTGTATACCTAGGTCAACATCATAAAGTGACATTCTCTATAAAGTATGTACTAGGCTTAAGTATATTGAAACTCTTGAACAACTGTACAGAATCTTTATGATTACGATGATGATGAAGACGACTACAACATGAATGAAGATAATAATGGTATGGTCCGATTTGCAGTTTCTTTTCTTCTTTTATTTGATGCAGCAGTATTTGTTACTACTTCTTATTGCCCTTGATTGCAGATGATGCCATGTATTAAAGTTGCTTGATGGAGTGGATTTTGCTTGCCTGTGGAAATTTCTTGCAGAGATGGAATTCTTTAATCACCATTATTGGACTTCTACAAAGTCCATAGGCCTTGTAAATTAGCAACAGCTATTTAATTTTGGATAATCAAGAAAGAACATCTCCCTTTGGATTATCAACAGTTCAACAAGTTACCAATCTATGTATATGTTTAGACAAAAAATGCAGACCTTCAGTCTCAAGAAACTACATCCATGGGCATGTTGTAGGCAAATTTATGCTACTGTCTGATGGAAGTTGCGAGTTTTGATTATGGGATACAATCGAAGGGCTCATAAAATTCAAAACTTGAGAAGTAAGGGAATATCGATGACCTTTGTTTCCTATAACTTTACTCTCGACTTGGATTATATATCCAAAAAGGTCCGCTCTCGGCAAGCCTGTTTGGTATTGGAAAAAAAATCCGACTATATTTGGTTGGTTTGGTTTTAACTAAAATAAACCAACCCGAGACCAAATCAATCCGACATAATATATAAAATTTTAAAATTTTATTTTATACGTAAAATATTTACTTTGATATAATTTTTAAATATTTCTTATACTTTTTCATAGTTCTTATCTTTTAATACAGTATTTCAAGTTTGAAATTTAGAATTTTGAATGGTCCAATAAATATTATAGTTCACAGATGTTGGTGATTATAATAAAAGCTTAAATCAAAGTCAAATTAATACTAATGCAAAAAGAAAATCAATTCAACACTAAGAATGACAATAATATTGAATATTTGTTCTTTAGTTTTACATTAGATTAGACAATTAAAAGACAAGAGGGAGTTGCTCGGATGGTAAGCACCCCTCACTTGCAACCTGAAGGTTGCGAGTTCAAGTCACCAAGGGAACAAAAGGGGTGGGAGCTCCTAGGGGAGGGTAAAAAAAAAGATTAGACAATTAAAATACATAATCTAATTTTAATTTCCTTTAATATTTAGTCATGTAACTAATACTTATTAAACTTATTTTAGCATGATTTAGTACTTTTAAATTATGATCATTCTCATTATGACTTGTTAATTTACAATATTTGTTTTACGCGATTTCATTATTATTATTTTTGTAGGATATTTTAGTGTTATTAATCATATCATATTTGTGTTATTTTCTTAAGAAACACCTTAGATAGTTGTATTTTTGGTAGGACTAAAGAAATATTTGAAGTACAAGTAAATTATATGTTTGTATGAATACTTTACCGAAACCCGAAAATCCGAAAAACTCGAAAATACCCGAGACTAAAAAACCCGAGTTTTATTGGTTTGGTTTATAAATTTAAAAATCTGACACAAATAATTTGGTTTGATATTTGAAAACTCGAACCAATCCGGCCATGTACATCCTTATTAGTATGCTAGGATAATTTTGGCAATTTGATCTGACAAAAAGATAGACGTAAACTGATGAATCAAGATGCTTTTTTTGTAGATAAATCGAGATGAATTGCATTCTTTCAAAGAATTTTTTGATGATGTAAGCTCACTTTCAGAATTATCACAAGAGGAACAAGAACTCATTTTTGCTTTCCTCTTCCAGAAGCAATGTTTTTCCTTTTTGAGAAATATACATAATGCTGAGGTGCGGATATCACATTGAAAGTTTCATTTATATCATGTAGATGATTTTCCGACTAATGACATGTGCACAGAGGGAAGACATGCAAGTTCAGAAAAGATGATTTCTGGAAAATGGATATAAGTTGAAAAGAATAAACCATATACCCCTTGATCCTTCTCATGAATCATGATATGAGTAAACCTGGTTTTTTTCATAACAACTAAAGCGGTCCGGAAAAAGTTTTAACTGGCTGTAATAAGCTAAAACTGAATAATCTTTGTCGCAACTAAATTCAAAATACCAAGGTAAGATCTGCAACTGATAGAAGCATCTTCTCTCCGTCAAAGACGATCTACTAAAGTTTTCCAGCAAAGGCTTGACAACACCAATTTAAACAAGGAAGGAGAAGATGGTGAGTTGCACATATCATCCTTACAATCTACTAACTACCTGCGCAAGGTGCTCCATTTTCCGGATCACATTTGACAACTCCAGGAGGAGTTGTCTCATCCGCGCATTAATGCATCTTATTACCATCCCTCTCACTCCAAGATTATTTCTCTCTGTAGGGTTGCCTCATCTGAGCATAGGTGCATCTGATTGTCATCCCCATCAAGAGATTCAAGCTCTACTTCCTCTGGAATCACTCTAGGAATATTCTGCAGCGCAAGTTCCAGCTCTCGAGCAATCCTCTGACATTAAAAGTGAAGGGTCTCATCAGATATTTAAATGTTTCGCAACAAATATTGATTCAAGATAAAATGAACAGGTCCCTAATATTTTCATGTTACTGAAAAGGAAGCTGTAATCATTTTACAACATTTGATCCGTGTTGCATGATAATATTTTGCATTCTCATGCCAATGGAGTATAAACTCGTAGAGCTACAAACAATCCAAATTAACAAGGAGTTCCTAAGGAAATAAATTATCCAAATTTAAAAGTAACTTGGTAAGATTGAAACCATACATGATTAGTGATGTCCTCATGAAGGATTTTAGCCTTCTGGTCAAGCTCCACCTGCAAATAGAAGAGTAAGTTTTATGGTAATACTAAACAGTAAACAGAATGAATCTATAACTGGAAAACTTGAGGAATTGAGCTTATATCCTTTCAGAAATGTATAAGACAAAAATAGAAGTATCAGCACTCTAATAGCTCAAACATTTAATAAACATTTTGTTGATTTGAGTCTCGCCACAACCCATTACTGAAAACTCCCCATGACTCAGGGGAATATATCCATGCCCACAAGTGAGGAGGATAAAAAACCAAATGCAAACTATATACCCTTTCAAGTAGCTTAAGATTATAAATGAAGTTGTACAAATTCAAAAGCACTTTTTTGAAAAAACGAAATACAAAAGGACTCTCTGTATAGTAAAAGGGGAACTAGAAAAGCACTGTGTTAAACTGGAGGATTCCCTCATTATCTCCACTAGGCAAGAAGTGCACTGATCCACATAACCCACTATTGAATCATGTTGTTTGGATGATCTGCGATAGTGTTCTAGATGAACCTGTTCAACGTCCAGATATACTCTATCTTGCGGCCTTCCCAAAAATGCAATTCTAAAGTTGTCTTCACCTTTTGGATGAAAAGAATATTCATGTAACATGCAGATGACGGGAAAACAGTTTTTTTGAGCTGGTGCTGTAGAGTTTGCTAAAAAAGAAAAAAAACGATTGGTTTCAGTGAGTCACACTTTTTATTTGAAATGGAACACGATGATTAAGGCCAGCTAGCAGGCACTGTTATTTGGTGAAACCAAAACTGAGACACTATCAAGTACACGGAATGTTTAGTGCTACAGACCAGGACTGGAGGACCTATTCACATTACAGCGACTCATTTTTCCATCAACAACCTCCACGATAAGGGACCAGGATTAGAAGAAGAAGATTGAGAATTCACTTGCCACTCCAGTATTCTCCCTTGATCAGAGTCCTTTTCATAACTGGTTGAGAATTGGGTCCCACTAACCCAGCCGAGATCTACCCAGATCTACTAGTTGCTTCCCACCAGAAGGACCACATGACAGGACATGAAGGATACATGAAAATGACCAAGTCACTCTTAGGGAAAGGATGACTCCTAGAACAAGGCAAGAGAGCATGTGGTATGTTGCAAGCAGCATGTTGCCTGAAGAGCTGAGACTTGAGAAATGCTTTATGATGAAAGAGAAACTGGGTTGTTCTAGAGGCAACCAGAACTTGCACTGAGCAGTCCCGACAGAGTGATCACTTTTTGGACAAGTCATTTATTTGGGAGTACTTTATACTGGAAACAATAGTTAATCATATTAAAGTTTTCAGTCATATAATAATACCGAGACTATGTTTCAACGTAATAGTTATGTCAAAATGCAAGCCAAAAAAACTTACAACTGTAAGCTTTCTGAAAATCCCAGCTTTGACTTTCTTTCTGAACTCATCACATTCTTCCTGAAAAACAGAGAAAAATGTCAAAACACATTGAATTGAAGGGTTAACCAAGAAAGCTTTTTGGTAGAGTTTTTGCCACTGGGTAGTTCCACACTGTTAAGATGTTTCTCAAGTATAAATGAATACATGTAACAGCTTCAGATCAACTAAGGGTAAGATGCTATGTTGTATTCTGAAGAAACAAAAAACTAGCTTCCATTAGGATCTAGACTACTAGAAACGTTCAATCATTTCCTTTTTTATTAGTAGAAACATTCAATCAGCTTTTTCCCTCAGTTCAAGAAATACTCAAAGTGATAATCAGTAAATGGAAATGGGAATAATCAGTAGGTGCCTTTCTATTAGGTCTATAATTTTTTTTTTTTGGATAAGCAATTCCCATTAGTGTAAATGCACCAAGAGTAGCTCAAAAGACTAAACAAAAACAGGAGTGCTCCAATTACACGTGGCAGTCCAGCAGCTCTAGAATGCTATCAAACATTTATCGTCTAGGATATTTTAAATTACTTCCAATTTGATGATCACACAAATCTACCTCAGCTTCCACAAGGTTGAGAATATTGGTAACCCAAATGAAGCCACTCTTCAGTCACTGAATTTGTTTTTTTCCGTAACTAGAAACATAAAGGGGTAAGGTATGCATACACTTTACCCTCCCCATACCCTAGATATGGGATTACACTGAGTGTGTTGTTGTCGTAACTAGAAAACGTATAACGTTCCAATTTCTGTGGTGCAGATTACACCTACAAGACGAGTTAAAAAGCTATTTTCTTCTGTTTGTATAGAAAATAATAGCTAATCCACATGCCACACCTCCTATCATTGGCTGCAATAAGGATCTTTTCCAAGAGTGAAATCTATTATGACACTAATAACATAAAAATCTGAAACAGCCAATGATAGCAACTTCTCAAAACAAGAGAAAACCTTTGATCCTTTTTAAAAGATCAAAACAAATATAGCCTAGAAAATAACCAACATCCAAAATTAACAACTTTTTTGCAGTATGGAATCTAACTCTAAGTTAGAAGAGTGACACGTATTTGTACATGAAAAGACTCGGATTAACAACATTTAATATCTATATGTAATGAACGTATATGTAGAATGATCATGAAAGGGTTGAAGTAGGTTACATTAGAAAACTCATCATCAGAAAGCGTGTTCAAGCAAACATTTTCAGTGATATTTGAAACTTGAATTAAACTCTTGCAACAGCAGTTATCGCTTGATCCATGCTTGATCCCTGAAACACTCGCTTAAACAAGAAAGATGTCAGTTTGAAAGCAAAATTGGTGCTCAACATTAAGTTTTCAATGGAAGAAAATATTCAATATTAAGACATAGAATATGAGTATAAGATTATGATCATTGCCTCACTCTCTTCATCCAATTTACTTGACCTGCTTGCTTTTTTCTCTTCCAAATTTACTGAGCTTCTTTAAGAGATCGATTTATCTTATTTCATTACGTCATATCTTTTCATTGATCTATTCCACTCGATTCACATATCAAATTTCTCCTTCCAGATTTATCCAAATCCTATTAAATTTAATTATAGTAACCTATTTCTAGTTTTCTCTCTCAACCTTTGAAGCTATTCAAACTAGGTTTTCTACTCTTTTTCTTTGGGTTGGAGAATGTAACTTGTTTTAGTTTAGCAGCGACCATCCTCCGTCCTGAAAAGAGTAGTATGATCCGGAATCAACTCATCTGATCCTCTATGTCAATTCCGAATCGATGCTTTACTATTTTCAAAATAGTATTTACATATTTGAAAACTACATATTAATTACTACTAATAACAATTATTTTGGTAAAGTCTTACCAGATTATTTAACACATCGTAGTCAAAAAAAGAAACAATTCGACTCACCAAATAATAATAGTATCATACAACATGAGCAGACAAAGTATAATAACTAATAAAGAAGGTTTTTATGTTCCAAACAAAATATAGAGGGTGTTAAGAATGAACTCTTCTCTCAATATTAACAAAACAACATTGACAAACCCAAAGGAAATTCAGTTCACGGGAAGATGAAAAGATGAGTTTTGAGTTTCAACTTTTATTTCATGTGCTTGAACAGATTATAAACATCATGATAACAACAAAAAGAGTAAACAAGTTGGTTGAGGAAACAAAAATCATTTATGTTTAAAAAACAGGTGTTCTGAATGGAAGACATGAGCATACTGCAGCATTCAGACATATTCACAGCAGTCATATTTTGGATAATTTCAAGTATCCTAAAACTTTGTATGGAGTACATGAACATAATGCAGCATTCAGACACATTCACAGCAGTCCACCGAGGGATGTTAACAACTATGTAAAAAAACAAATCAAAGAATGAAGCCATTTGTTAAAACAACCTGTAATTTGCACAAGCTGATGAGAGTTACGCAGCTCAAAATCACGTGGATCTAACTTGACCCGAACAAAACTTCCTATAATCTTGGTTTCAAATGACTCAGGCTTCTTGATCATCTCCAGAAGCAAACTCCTCTTCAGGTAAACGAGTTTGATATTTTCAGGAATCAAGGCTGCAAATTGACTTTGTGCTGCTGTTGAATACGAAATTGAGGATCTTTTGTTTTGTTCAACCTTTTTCTCAGTTTTAGAAGCCACCAACATTTCTGTGTCATTGTCTTCAAGATCATGATCAAGCTCATCCTTTTGTAATCGCTCCTCATTTTCAACAAAATGGCTTATAAGGAGGCTAAATATTTTGTCTTTGTTTACTACTTTTTTCCCCAAAATAGCTTCTAACTGAACATCACAAAGGATCTTTCTCCTTTCAACCGGATGGATAAGGTTATTTTCATTTACATATTTACTTACCATCGATGTCACATCATATGGGGATAATTTTTCTCTGGTATCGTGACCTATAAGCTGAAGAAAGTCAATTAGAGATTTTGATCCCCATCCAACAAATTCTTTTTTCTGTGAAGTGTCGCTTCTTTGCATCTTTGTTTTCTGTTGTGTACATATTTTCTTTTCAGCCCTTTTCTTCTGAGGTCCTCCATCACTGAAATTGTCTGAAGAAAGGTTCTCATCCTCATTTTCAGCCAGAGGTTCAAGTCCTACTTTTTCGGGAATCACCCCAGGAATATTTTTCTTTGTAGGGGTGGTTGTCTCATCTTCGCATTGATGCATCTTATTTCCATTCCTCTCATCTTCAGCCATTCCTCGATGCATATGATTGTCATTCCTATCTAGAGATTCAAGCTCTATTTTCTCTGGAGTCACTTGGGGAATATTCTGCAGCACAAATGACAGGTACGAAGCTTGCTGTAGGAGCTTTCTTTTCTCCAGATGCTGGAAAAGTGTAAACAAGGGGTTAAGGAAACACTTTCCTTTCTTTGCAGAATGGACCAGGATGAAGAACATCGAGACAACAGTACACACAGACAAAATTAGGGAATGAAGGATGAGATGATAAAAGAGGAACATAGGGGTTAAGATGAAATTGGTGATCATAGAAAGTAATGCAGGTGACCAAACACAGAAGCTTACTACCAAATCTGTGCTAAATTTTCCATCCTTGGGGCTGGTTTGGCGTTCTGTCAAATACGATAAATTTAGTCACCCAAAAAAGAAGGAAAAAAGGATATTCCTGTCTCCGTCCTTTCTCATTTGCTCGATCAATGAGTTTTTGCAACAATTCAAGCTCTTGAGCAATCCTCTGCCATTAAAAGTGAAGGTGTCACCAGATATTAGATGTTTCGAATATATATGGAATCAAGACAAAAATAAACAGGTCCCTAATAACTTCATGTTACTGAAATGGAAGCTGAAATCTTTTTACAACATTTAATCCATGTTGTACGATAATTGTATTTATCATGCCAATGGAATATAAAATTGTAGAGCTACAAACTATCCAAATCAACAAGGAGTTCCTAAGAAAAATAAATTATCCAACTTTAAAAGTAACTTGGAAAGATTGAAACCTACATGCTTTGTGATGTCCTCGTGAAGGATTTTAGCCCTCTGTTCAAGCTCCACCTGCAAATAGGAGATTAAGTTTTATGGTAGTACTAAATGGAATTGGAGTTCAGCTGAATCTATAACTGGAAAACTTGAGGAACTGAGTTTGTATCTTTTTAGAAATGTAGAAGGTTAAATTAGAAGTATCAACTCTCTAATAGATCAAATATTTAATAGAGATGACACACACAATTCTAAATGGTGTCAGAGCAAGAATTTTTTATTCGATTTGAGTCTCACCACAGCCCATCACTGAAAACTCCCCCATGGCTCAGGGAATATATCCATGCCCACAAGTGAGTATAATGAAAAAACCAAATGCAAATTATATAGAAGTATTCCCTTTCTAGTAGCTCATGATTTTAAATGAAGTGATACAAACTCAAAAGCAATTTTTTTTTCAAAAAAAGGAAATTCAAAAGGGAAGGCTATAACTTTGTCAAATGGAAAGATCTGATAGTGGAAAAAGATATGGGGGTCTGGGAATTAAGAACCTGAAAAACCACAGTAAGGCTCTCAGAATGAAATGGCTATGGAAGTATGCAAATAACAAACAAATGCTGTGAGGGAAGTCATTGATGCTAAGTATGAGGAGGAAGACAGGTGGATGACCAAGGAAGTAACTGCTTCATATGTTGTAGATCTATGGAGATCTGATCTCTATGGAGTGAACTCAAGAATAGCACCAAGATCTGATCTCCCGGGCTAGGCAAGAAGTGCACTGATCCACGTAATCCACTATTGAATCATGTTGTTTGGCTGATCTGCATTAGTGTTTTAGATGAACCTATTCAATGCCCAGTTATATTCTATCTTGTGACCTTCCCAATAATGCAATTCTATGTCTTATCCTTTTGGAGAAAAAGAATATTCATGTGACATGCAGATGATGGGAACACACTTTTGTTGAGGTGGCGCTGTAGAGTTTGCTTAAAAAGAAAGAAGACAACGGGTTTCAGTAAAGGCCAGCTAGCAGGCACTCTTACTTGGTGAAACCAAAACTGAGGACACTATCAAGTTCACAGAATATTTAGTACCGGGACTGGAGAACATATTCACATTACAGCGATCATTTTTCCACCAACAATCTACAATGATAAGGGAAAAGGATTAGGAGGAGAAGAAGAAGATTGAGAATTCACTTGACCACTTCAGTAGTTCTCTCTTGATCTGAGTCTTTTTTCAGAACTGGTTAAGAATTGGGTGCCACTATCCCAGCCAGGATCCACCCAGGCTCTACTAGTTCCTTCCCACCAGAGGGGTCACACCATAGGACATGAAGGATACATGAATATAACAGTCGTATATTCATGTATGTTATCCGCAAGAGAGCATGTCGTATGTTGCAAACAGCATGCTGCCTGAAGAGCTGAGACTGGAGAACTAGTTCCCACTCAAAATCCATATTACAAGCTCTAACACTATATAACAAAGAGAAATTGGGTTTTCTAGAGGCAACCAGAACTTGCACCGAGCAGTGCCGACAGAGAGATCACTTTTTGGACAAGTCATTTATTTGCGGGTATTTTATGCTGGAAACAATAGTTAATCATACAAAGCTTGCAGTCATATAATAATATCTAGACTATGTTTCAGCGTAATAGTTATGTCAAAATGCAATCCAAGAAAACTTACAATTGTAGGCTTCTTTTGAAGCCCAGCTTTCACATTTTTTCTGAGCACATCACAATCTTCCTGAAAAACACAGAAACATGTCGAAATTCATTGAATTGAAGGGTTAACCACAAATCATGTCAAATTCTATATAGCTGATTAGCTGAAAAATCATGTCAAATTATATTATAAGTAGAGTTTGCATAGACAGATGCCCTCAAAAGATGAAGTAGGTTACCTCAGAAATCTCAGCATCTGAAAGCATGGTCAAGCTAACATCTGTTGCCATATTTGAAACTTCAATTAAACTCTCGCTGTTGCACGTATCACTTGATCCAAGCTTGATCCCTGAGAACACTCCTTAAACAAGAACAATGTCAATTTTAAAGCAAAATTGGTGGTCAAGATTAAGATTTCAATGACAGAAAAATATTCTATATTAAGACTTGGAAGATAAGTATAAGATTATGATCATGGCCTCAATATCTCCATCCAATTTCTTGACCTGCTTGCTTTTTTCTCTTCAAAATTTACTGAGCTTCTTTAATTGATTGATTTACTTATTTCATCACGTCATATCTTGTCATTGATCTAATCCACTCTATTCACATATCAAATTTCTCTAAATACTATTTTGTTTAATAATAGTAACTTATTTTAAATTTTCTCTCTCAACCTATGGTGCTAGTCAAACTAGGTTTTCTACTCTTCTTCTTTGGGTTGGAGAGAGTAACTTGCTTAAGTTTAGCAACGATCATCCTCCATTCCGAAAAGAGTGGTATGATCCGGAATCCACTCATTTGATCCTCTACGTGTATTCTGACATCGATGTTTAACCATTTTAAAAATAATATTTACATATTTGAAAAATACATATTACTAATTACTACTAATCACAATTATTTGGTAAAATCAAACCAACTTATTTAAACATATCGTAGTCAAAGAAAGAAACAATTCGACTCGCCAAATAGTAATAGTATCATACAACATGGGCAGACAAAGTATAACAAATTGTAAAGAAGATTTATATGTTCCAAACATAATATAGAGGGTGTTAAGAATGAACTCTTCTCTCAATACTAACAACACAATAATGACTAACCCAAAGGAAATTATGAAAAGATGAGTTTCAAGTTTCAACTTTAATTTCATGTGCTTGAACAGATTATTAATGTCGTGATAACCACAAAAGTGTAAACAAAGTTGGTTGAGAAAACATAATCATTTATTTTAGAAAAAAAATAGATGTTCTGGCTAGTTGATGTCCAATTATCTAAAAACTCAGGTATTGAAGACATGAGAATAATGCAGCATCATATTCACAGCAGTCCACCGATGGATGCTAGCAACCATTTCAAGACAAATCAAAGAATGAAATCATTTGTTAAAACAACCTGTAATTTGCATAAGCTGATGAGAGTTATGCTGCTCAGAATCACGTGGATCTAACTTGACCCGAACAAAACTTCCTATAATCTTGGTTTTAATTGACTCAGGCTGCTTGATCAACTCCATTACCAAGCTCCGCTTCAGGTAAACGAGTTTGATATTTTCAGGAATCAAGGCTGCAAATTGACTTTGTGGTGCAGTTGAATACCAAATTGAGGATATTTTGTTTTGTTCAAGGCTGCCGATGACTTTGCTTTGCGTCTTTGTTTTCTGCTGTGTACATCTTTTCATTTTAAGCTTTTTCTTCTGAGGTTCGCCATCGTTGAAATCTTCATTGTCTAAAGAAAGCTGCTCATCCTGTTTCTCACAACGTTTATCTGAATAAGAGCTAATTTGGCATATCTTCTCCTTGTCTAGTAGAGCCTTACCAGCAAGAAGTTTATTTTTGTCAATTCCTTCTTTTTCCTTTACTATCTCGTAATACTCCCTGAAAAGGCCCTCTTGTGTTTCGCGATCTCTGAAGTCTACTTTTTCCTGGAAAGTAACAATCATTCATATGAGAAATGGAACAGATTACTCATTAACTAGAGGAAAAATAAAGCAAATAGGAAAGGAGATATATCAAGAAATCAAAGAAAGACTAATCTAACTGAATATTGCCAATGCGATAATAGTGATAAACATGCAAGACGTAATCTCACATACTCAAACAGAGGAAAGTAAGCTGTTAACATTGTTTGTGACACAAGAAGATCAATTGTGATAATATCCTCCCTACATTATACTAGAATAAACTCAATATTCGGAAACCTAGAGGAATAATAAATTCAGGAAACAACAAAATGATGATCAAACCAATACCTATTGAATACAACTAAGATTTTCTACCGCTCTTCTCTAATGTTAAACCTGTGTGAAGCCACTCCCTGAGAGAGAGTTCACTTTTTGAACTTCTATAAAATACAGTTCACCTTGAAAACTGAACAGGAAACTTTATCTTTTTTCATATATAATCTTTCACTTTTTCTGATAACAAATGAATATAGTGTTTTAAAGAGAAACCGATAGCGCATCTCATATTTTCCTGTCGTCAAACTTGTCGCCTCTCAATGCTCTTTATGGACTTGGCTTCATTTATCTCCGTCTATCATGAGTATTAAACATAATTATATGTCAAAGCTGTAAAGTGGGTGTTTGGATAGACTTATTTTTAGTGACTTTTGGCTTTTAAGTATTTTTTAGTTTTGAAAGTGTTTGGGTAACACAAAAAGAGCTTAAAAGCTGAAAAGGTACAAAAAGAAGCCAAAAGTAAAAAGTTGGGGTTCCCAAACTTATGACTTTTGACTTTTAACTTATAAGTCACTTAAAGAAGTCAATCCAAACACCCCCTAACTTTCAAGCTGTTCTCCTGGGCTAGTTCAGTTAAAAGTTTCCATGACAAGTTCTCTTTGGATTTGAAGATAAACATTTCCAAAATGTAAATTAATTAAATAGTACTGAACCAAAAAAATACAGTTTTCGAGTAACCATAATAATCATGCATACCCCATCAGAATCAATATTCTTGTCTTCTTCCACAAGCAATGCGAGCTTTAGGCAATTATTGCACAATCCATTCCTCCCTTTAAGATGGACAAAATCGATAAGGCCAATACAGCTCGAGCATGCAGCTCTTATACAACAATAACAGTGATAATATGATTTTCCTTTGCAAATTAAGCATGTATGTCGTCCTGGAACACGGTAAAACTGATGTTACTTTTTGCACAACTATATTTATTCTATGTAATGAAAAAGCAATACATGACCAATTAAACTAACACGACAGTATAAGCCAACAATATATAAGTACTCAAACTTAAAATGTTCGGATGCAATCCACGTTACAGCCCCTTGGGGTGTGGCCTTCCCTGGAGCATGTGTGAACATAGGAAGCTTGACACACCAGGCTATCCATTTATCAGATGTCTTTGAGTGATAAATACTTATCTATTTCAGCAACAGTTACCACAGACTACTATTCTCTAACATTATGGTTCATCGTTCCAAAAAGTGGTGCAGTAGCAATTTGGAGCCAAATTAAGCAATAATATTTATTCTAATATTGTTTTGTAATTGAAAGGAAATTTTGTTCCTACATCAAACTCCAACACTCAAGAAAAACGTGATTACAATAATCATTTCTCAGTATATTACTATTTTAAGCATTTTATATTCTCTTGGCTTATATGTATTATGATATTCTTATCAAGGTTTTTAAGCATACACATGTATGATAAAGAAGTCTATCCCTAGAGAATTAAGGCTGAGGTTAAGTATGGACTTCACGGGGGTTTGGAGATCTATTAGAAACTTATGACCCAAGTTAGAACCAAATTTACATATCAAGGTGGGGGATGGAAGGAGAAGTAGAAACTGGTGGGATGTATGGATCAAACAAACCCCCCTAAAAGACCTGTTTCCTGATCTATTTATTTTGTGCACCAATTCTGAGGCAATGATCAGTGATTGCTGGACAGAACAAGGTTGGAATCTCTATTTCAGAAGACTACTAAATGATTGGGAAATAGAGAGAGAGCCAAATTGTTGGAGGAAGTGGGGGATTTTGCAGGCACCAATATTGCCAATGATGTTGTTAGATGGTCTCATTGTAAGGATGGTATATTCACAGTTGGCGGGGCATATAAAAGGAGTGCAACTCGCAAAGTAGCAGATACCGGAATGCATGGGAAAATGTCTGGAGGACTACAACACCAACAAAAGTTAAGTGCTTTACTTGGTTGGTCATTAGAAAGGCATGCTTGACACATGAAGTCTTGAGGAAGAAAAGAAAGATCATACTTCCTTGGTGCTCTTTATGTGGGAAGACAGGGGAAACTAATAGTCACCTATTCTTACATTGTACTTTCACAACACAAATATGGTCCATGTTTCTCAACTTTTCAGAAGTGAAATGGACTATGCCAGAACATACAGCTGATTTACTTAGTTGTTGGATCAGGAGAGGAGGTAACAAGAGACAGAAGACCTGGTGGAATTTGATTCACATTGCATCTGGTGGACAGTGTGGAAGGAGAGGAATAGTAGGAATTTTGAAGATAATCCAATTCCATTCAAAAGGTAAAATGGAATTGCATTGTATCTCTATATTTTTTGTGTAAAGAGATAGGATTAGAGGATTCGGATCAACTTTTAGAATTCTTAGGATCCTTGTAAGTATTATGCTTTTTGTTCTTTTCTGATTTTCTAAAGGTCCCCAACATATCCTTAATGCTGAAGAATACAATGTTACCAATTCTCAAAAAAAAAAGTATGGACTTCAAACTTGTATCTACATATTAGGTTATATTTGTTAAAGAATAAGTCTATTATGAGCTTAACAATTTTCTTATCATAATTTATTTACACAATGAGAATATCATTCCTCAAGTAGTTTAAATTTAAGGGAATTAAATAACCATTAATCATACTTGCTCATCATGAAATAGGGCTAGCCGCCAGGATCCAATACCATATACTTCTAATCTTCTTTTTAGTTCCTTTATATTTTCCTTTTGCCTTGGGCAACAAATATAAATATAAATCTAAATTACACAAAGGAATAAAGAAAATACTGGCTCTAGCAAAGAACTGCCTACATATGGAGAAATTTGAGACCCTCAGAAATTGCCTAGAAAATTACTCATTTCATTTGTGCCAAGACATTATATTTGAGTTGGAATATGCAAATTATTTATTGAGCTTGCATGCATGCATCCTTAAAGTATACGCTTTAAAACAATGGAGCATTTTTTTGTAAATTACTTGTAGCTAGACATTAAAAGCTATGTGTGTGGGGGGGGGGGGGGGGGTTAAATAGGTGTTGAGCATTAAATCCCCACTCTTCTTGAAAACTTAAGAGCCAATGCATGCATTGGACTCTTTGTTTTTCCAAGGTGCCACCCAAGATGACCAATGATTTTTTTTTCTTTTTCCAAGAATTAATTAAAAGATTACATTGCCCTTTTAGATGACCCATTTCTTTTATTCATTAATTGAACAATAGTTAAATGGGTCATCTGAAAGATGTTGAGGGGGGGGGGGGGGGGGGGGGGGGGGGGTTCTGAAGTCTTTCACGATCTTGTTTTCCTCATCACTCAAAATGAACAAAAGCTTTTCATATGCCATCAGCACAACTAAATCTATTCAAGTGCTTGTGCAAACATTCTTCTTAGACTGGAATATATTCACAATCAATTCTGAAGCAAACTTTCCCTCTTCCACATATGATGTATTTTCTTAATTTAACTTATGGCGTTGTAACTAAGAGAAGAGTCTATAAGATCAGTTGGTTAGTATTTGTTTTTGAGAATCTGGTCCCACAAAACATTTAATGTTGTATAAAATACATAGAACTATCTGCTGAATGAAAATAAACTCCAGTTTGGGACTGAACAAAAATGGAAGCAAAACTTTCTTTTTTGGAACCTAAAAAAGTATATACTAGTATTGAGTAATATGCAAAATCATTTAAAGGGCTAGCATAAATTCATAGTAAAATGTCCATTTTTCTTTTATCAAGTTTTAAGAAATATATTCATTTACAAAGGGAAAGGGCTCCCACATACAAGAAGTAGACAAAAAAATAGAGATCCATAGTAAAATGTTCACTAAAATTCTATTTCTCTCTCTTCCCCTCTCTCTCCTACTTTGTACTGCATATCAATCACCTAAAATTCTGACAACTATACTCCAAAGATTTTCTTCAAAATATTTTAATACTTAGTACTAGAAACCCTATACTCACTTGTGGGATTACACTGCAGCTCCTAGCCGCTAGGCCATCTCTTTGGAGATTTGTTGGAGATCATTAACTAAAGCAATTGCGAGGTACTATATATACACATGCTCTCAACAGTCTTTTCTCACGACGTAATAAGTGACATCTCAAACGAGGATGGGAAAGTTGGACTCTTCTTGGATAATTCTTTCTAAAATAGAGGAGATGGAGTAAACATGAGACAACATTTTCTCATTCTCTGTAAGGAACATAGAACATCAGGAAGGATTTGCTTCTCTGGTAAGCTATCAACACAGGGTCCCACCAGCATACATACCAGGAACTGCTGCAGTTGAGATCAATCCAGTAGTTCATAAATTTAATGAAGAAAAAAAAAGATGATTTATAATGAGTAACATTTTAAAATCAACATTTTAGTATTGGCCAATCAAGAACTCACACGTCCAAAAGTTGAAAGTAGCGGAAATGAGGATGATGTGATGGATGTATGGGCATACTAGGAAAGATAGGATTAGAAATGAGGATATTCGTGGACAAGGTGCAAGTGGTCCCTGTGGTGGACAAGATGATGGAGGCGAGGCTGAAATGGTTTGAACATGTGAAGAGAAAATGATCAAATGTCCTAGTGAGAAGGTGTGAGAGGTTGAATAAGTTGGTTCTAAGGAGAAAATCAAGATAAACCGAAGAAGTATTAGGGAGAGGTGATTAGATAGGACTGCACAACTGCAGCTTACCGAGGACATGACCTTAGATAGGAGAATATGAAGGTCGAGGAATAGGGTAAAAAGTAGTAGATAGTCGAGGTGTCTAGTTTTCCCTATCAGTATTATTGTTGTTACTCTTGTACCATCTTATTCTTCGATTTATTTTACCTATTGTTTTTTTTTTTTTTTTTTGATAACCGAGAAATCCGTCTGTGACCCGCCCTTTTGGACCAATCACAGCCTTCTAAACTCGGTGGATAATGGGCCCGCCCCTCTACCCTTCTCCACTTAATACCGGCTTATCTTTGCATGGTGTGGGGCTTGAACCTGCGACCTAAGCCACAAATCCTCCACCTTTTTGCCACTTGAGCTATGCCTTGGGGGCTATTTTACCTATTGTTTTTTTTTTTTTTTTTTTTTGATACCCGAGAAATCCGTCTGTGACCCGCCCTTTGGACCAATCACAGCCTTCTAAACTCGGTGGATAATGGGCCCGCCCCTCTACCCTTCTCCACTTAATACCGGCTTATCTTTGCATGGTGTGGGGCTTGAACCTGCGACCTAAGCCACAAATCCTCCACCTTTTTGCCACTTGAGCTATGCCTTGGGGGCTATTTTACCTATTGTTTTTATTACCTTTTGTTTAGGTTATCATATTATTTGTTATTGTTACTGTTCTTTTCTCCATTATTTTCAACGTGGCTTCTTCACTACTATTTTTATAAAAAAATTGGTAATGAACTTCTTCACTACTATTTCCTTTTCATATTTTTTAATATGTGTTACTTAGGCCTGGGGTCCTTTAGAAACAACCTCTCTACCTTCACAAGGATAGGGGAAGGTTATGCACAGTTGTACACACTACCCTTTCCAAACTCCACCCACTTGTCTATACAGGGTATGTTGTTAATTTTAGTGCATAACTGGCAAGTTGATTAAAATTTTAAATGTGACATCCAACCATCAAAAGAATTCATTGAGGCAAGATAGGAGTGTAAAATTAACTTTATCCCTAAAGCAGCTAAAGTGACATGAAGGAGGATTTCAACAACTACTCGATGCCGTACCGTTATAAACTATGGGAGGAATCATTTGGCCTTCTTGGAAGCTTATTCTTTAACGAGAAGTATATACATGCAAAACAAAAATAAATAAAAAAATAACAACCTTCCAAGTTACAACTACTTTCCAAACACTCAAACCACTGGAAACCTTGTTTGTCAAAGTGGCGGTTTTGTAATTCCTTATACCTGACAGATGGTATCATGGGACTTCGACTACTGTATAACTTAGCGTCCTCCCTTTAATAGTACCTTTTTATCAAAGAAAGTTATTTTGATTCATCCAAGTAAAAGGGTAAGCAACACCTAGTACAGTGTATGTGACTGCAAGGTTATTAAGCAAGTTATATAAGCAGAGCAGTCCATGTCCATGTTCATTCTAGTATACGTGGAGAAATAGCAAAGACAATTTTTTTTCCAGTGAATTATTTTGAAAAATCTCAATATAACAGAAACTCAAAATTCAATTGCCTTTTTCACTCAATATAAACTAAGTTTTGTCATGCTTAACTTTGGTTAGTCAAAATCGATAAACTAGCAAAAGGAAAAAAACTCCCAGACAAAACAAAAGGACAAAGAGTAAATTTAGAAATATTAAATTTGCTTGACGAAAGATGAATTAAGAGGCTTGCCACATATCCAAGGTTCATCACTTGTCAAAACTGAGTCCTCTACCCCCGCACATTTAGGGTGATAAGCTTTCAAACATCCCCTGCAAAGTTGAAAATATATTGTTTAGTAGAAGTCCATGTAGAGAAAGAATCACCAAGTAAAAATAACTGGAACACCTAATGAATACCATTGCAGAGTACCTAGCCAAAATAAAAAAAGCTAACCCAAACAAAGACTACCTAGCTAATTGCTAGGCCATATAGTGCTTATAGCAAACATAAGAGCGGTGCTCATCTCAAAAGATGAATGACCAGAAAGTAGAGCGTGAGGTTAAGGAATTATAGAATTTTTTTTGTGCTTCATATAAGTCAAGTTGACATCAGTGAATCTACAACCTTTTTCCTCCATAGAAGTAAAGTTGACAGTAGCGGGGATCTATAGACTTTGTGTTCCATAGAAGTAAAGTTGACACGTTCCTAATAAGGATATCCCAGCTGGAAACTGACTGTTCACTTTTTTTTATGATGACCGTGGTGTTCGGGCTAGCATTAGCACACCTCAACTAGTTTCATAGGATACTTGCCACCTCCCACCAACAATAGATACCAGGTATCTCTATCCACCAAGGGTAGGACAAATGGAAAGAATCACAGTGTTTTTTGTCTCCGCTGAAATTTGAACCTGAGACTTCATGACTTTCAACCACTTCATTGACCACTAGGTCACACCCTTGGGTGCAAGCTGTATCTATTTTCTTATATACATTATTATTTTTTTAGGATTATGAGGAGCCATCTAACAATGTTTGCATGCAAGCTTGCTTTTATCCAAGAATTTTTTGTGTTATCAAACAAGAAAATAACCTTTCCCCAATAAGCCAACAGTAGTTGTTACTCCATCCTTTCTTTTTTTACTGTCCACCTTAAGAAATAATGATTGACATGATATCACAATATCCGCATTAATTGATATTCAGTCTTAGAGTTTGTGAAATGATTTAGAGGTAATTAATGTTAAGGGTAAAATTTGCACGGCCCTTAAGAAATAATGATTGACATTAATATTTTACCACAATACCAATATTAATTGATATTTAGTCTTAGGTCGTGGGAAATGATTTGGAGAATAAGTAATTGATGTTAAGAAAAACATGAAAGAAGTATGTTTTTCTCTTAATAGGCTAAAAGTAAAAAGTTAAGCAAAAAATATTTTTAGTATAGCGCATAAGTAAAAGTGAACAGAAAGAGTACACATGGGAAAAAGAACAAAATACAAGTGTTTTTTTTTAATAAACGAGAAATTTTGAAGAGTTGGCTAAAACCAGCACTTACAGATGACCAATCATTGGAGAAACTAAACTTAAGACCTCAAAACACATTTATGGTACTTTTTGGGGGTAAAAATATTTATTGTATCCATTGTTCACAACAAATTAATGAATGGACAACATGTGTCCTTTTAACCATCATTTATAACTGAGTTAAATTGCTTATTTTGATAGATGTCAGAACCATGAAAATATTCTATAGCATATATGTAAATATAGTAGGTGGTTTGATTTACTCTTAGATTTACTCCTATCTAATTAGGTATTGATTTCCTTTTTTTAGGACATGTACACTTAGCTATTTAAACCCCAATAGCTTGTGGAAATAACCAAGTTGATTACTCTCTCAAACTCTTGTTTTCTCATATGGTACCAACACTTTATTTAATTAGAAAGCAAGAATAAAATAAGAGTACAAAATTGCTGATCATTTTTCCAGCAAAACCTCCACTGTTCCGTGATTCCGAAACTATCCAGAGATATTGTGCATATACTAGTACAACCATTATAATCAGAATCCTCGCGTGTGGTGTTCTCCACCCACTTTTCCAGCATATTCCTCTTTTCCAGTAGGTTCGCCACAAAAATACGACCCTATTCATTAAATATTTTTCCCGATTCCGATGATTTTCCGACAGTCAAATCTATTTTTTTGGTGAGACAGCAAGCAGTTTATAAGATCTATTCTTCAAGTTCTTTTCCAAAATTTATTTTTTTTGGACACAAAAAGATTTGTTTCCATGTCTCTCGGATCTGATATGTTTAATACTAAATCCATGGGCTCCAGTAACCCTTAAGCTGAATCCACTGGTTATCCAACCAATCAACTGTTCTCTTTGCCTAAGGTAGAATACACTGACTTTCTTTGGTATTGAGCGAGTAAGTAGCCATCTTCATCAACAGCTTCTGTTGCCCAGATTGATAATCGTGTTAATCATGTTAATCGTGTTGTTTGTATCTTACTGTCCACCACACTTGGCCATTGGATCATGGACTTAAGCACTTCAGATAACATTTCTGGTAACAAATCTTTATTGTCTAATATTACTTACTCTCAGTCCCTTCCCACTATTATGTTAGCTAATGGTTCCCAGACTATGGCAACCGGAGTTGGTCAAGACAATCCCTTACCCACCTTGACTCTAAATAATGGTTGTCCCTTTAGCCTCTTGTCAATAAGTCGTTTGGCTGAGGCATTAAATTCTACACATAATCAGATGTTTAAAAACAAAGAATCTTAATCATTCAATGTACAGATCTATAGACAAGAATCATCCAGATGTGCATTCAAATTCAGACGTCTTAATCTTAATGAAAACAAATGAGGCTTCGGTCTTTGACTCTCTAGATTGAATTCACAGACGATTGGGTCACCTTAGTTTATCCAAACTTAAAAAATAAATACCTAGTTTGTCAAAGTTATTGAAGTTAGATTGTGAGTCATGTGTATTAAGGTGTTAAGGTGTGTATTACTACACCTATGAATTTCTAGGTATTAGTAACACAATGGGTTTAATGCATGCATTAACATAGTTAAAGATCCAATTATCCCTGAAAACTATTTTTACATCTTTTCCACCATAATTGTGAAGATATTTTTGTAAATAAATATCTAGAAATAATCTATGTATAATTAATCTATTTCTTAATCTATAGAAATAATATAATTATAATCTATAGAAATAATATAATTATTTCTTATCCAAACAATGTATAAGAAATAATCTATGTATAATTAATGCAAACATAACTAATACAAACATTACTAGTATACTCTATTTAGCACTATTTTTATACACTCTACCAAACAAACCCCTTACTTTCATTGTTGATTACTCAAGGTGCACTTGTATGTTCTTAATGAAAGATCATTTTGAATTATTTTCCATTTTCAAATTTTTTGTGCTGAATAAAAAAACCAGTTTAGTGTTTCTATTAGCACCTTTCGGAGTGTAATGCATGTGAATATTTATAATCTCAATTTAAAAAATTATTTCTTCCTATGGAATTTTTCATAAAAAACCTCATCCTTAGAGTACACAACAAAACTGGGTCGCTGAGAGAGAAAATAGGGAAATTGTTGAGACTGCATGCACTCATCTCATTCAAGCAAATGTTCCATTGCGCTTTAGAGGGAATGTAGAACTCACCTTTGGTTATCCAACCGTATGCCTTCAATTGCTATTCAAAATCAGGTTCGACACTCTATTTTGTTTCACCAGTCAACCTTATTCTCTTTTCCACCACGCATCTTTGGGAACACATATTTTGTCCATATACTCGCTCCAAGAATAGACAAATTAGCTCCCCTACTCTTAAAAGTGTTTTTCCTAGCTATTCAAGGGTATTGAAAGGATATCGATGTTGCTCACCTGACCTCTAGCAATACCTTATGTCTGTTGATGTTTTTTGAAGTTCAACCCTACTTTACATCTTTTTTTGTTGAATAATTAGGCATTTATGAGGTTCTACTAGTTCTATCTTTAAGGGATACCGCCACAGTCTATCCTTCTATGTCATCATCTATAACTTCATCTTTCTCCCTGCACCTCTACTACTATTGACCTATCATTATTGTCCGTGCACATATGATTCATGCCCGCCACCGGAATCCTTGCCTACTAAGGACTGGTCTACACAGAGTTCTTTTATTGTCATTCGTAAAGGTAATTGCTCTACTCATAATCTCACCCTATACTTGTTTGGGCTATCATCGTTTATCACCGGCCTATTCTGCCTTTGCATCATCACTATCAGTTGTGGCTACTCCTAAGACTATAGGTAAAACTTTTTGTCATTCATGCTGGTAACAAGCTATGATTGAGGAGATGCTTGCCTTACACTCTAGTGGTACTTGGGAGCCTGTACCTCCAGATGAATCAACAATTGGTTGTCATTGGGCATATACAATGAAGGTTGGCCTTGATGGATAGATTGATAACCTTTTCTTCTGTGACCAAGATTGCTTTAGTCCATCTCTTTTTATCCATAGTGGTTGTACATCATTAGTCTCTCTATCAATTGGATATTAAAAATGTTTTTCTTTATAGAGATCTCAAAGATGAGGTATATATAGAGCAACCATTTGATTTTGTTACTCGGAGGAAGTCTAGTAACATGGTGTGCAGACTACGACGAGCCCTTTATGGCTTGAAGCAATCTCCTCAAGCATGGTTTGGGAAGTTAGCATAGTTATTGGGGAGTTTGGCATAGTACGAAGTGTAGCTGATCATTATGTGCTTTATTGTCACTCTGCTCCAGGTTTGTGCATGATTGGTAATGTATGTTGATGACATAGTTATCACATGTAATAATGAGGAAATTACTGAATTGAAACATCACCCTTTCCAACACCTTCATACTAAGGATTTTGGTCGATTGAGGTACTTCTGGGGCATTGAGGTTGCTCAATCCAAATCAAAAATTGCCTTTTCACAAAGGAAGCATGCACTTGATAGTCTTGGAGAGAAAAGGATGACATATTGTAGCCCCATTAATTCTCTAATGGATTCAAATGTTAAGGGAAGCCTCTTAGCAATCCTAAAATATATATAAGGCAAGTAGGAAGGTTGAATTATCTTAGTGACTCGACCTAATATTACCTTTCCTGTTAATGTTGTAGTTCGATTCTTAAATTCTCCTTGTAGTCACTAGAATGCAATTATTCGCATCATTCGAACCATAAAATTTGGTCCATGGAAAGAATTACTTTCTGAAGGCCGAGGACATGAGAAAATTGTTGGATATTCAGATTCAGATTGAGCAGGTTCCCCTTTGACAGACGATCCACTTCTGGATATTGTGTTCTAGTCGGGGAAAATTTGGTGTCTTCGAAAAGTAAGAAATATATGTGGTTGCTAGCTCTGGCCTCTGTAGAAGTGGAATATCGTGCCATGATAGTGGCAACATTTGAACTCATATGAATCAAGCAACTACGGAAAGAGTTAGACATTTGGAGATACAAACGGAATGGAACTTGTGTGCGATTATGAAGCTACACTTCACATTGCATCAAATACAGTGTTTTACGAAAGGACCAAACACATAGATATTGATTGCCATTTTTCGGTGAAAAGGTACACTTAGGAGACATCGTCACAAGGTTCGTGCGGTCAAATAATCAACTTGCATACACATTCACCAAGTCCCTAGCCGGTCCCAAAACGAGTTATGCATTTAACAAGTTTGGTACATATAATTTATATGTACCAGCTTAAGAGGGAGTGTTAGAATCCTAGGAATATTCTATAGCATATATGTAAATATAGTAGATGGCTTGATTTACTCCTATTTTAATTAGGTATTGATTTATATTGATTTCCTTTCCTTTTTAGGACATGTAAACTTAGTTCTTTAAACCCCATAGCTTGTGGGAATAATCAAGCTAAGTTCTCTCGCGAACTCTTGTTTTCTCACCATATACAATCAGGTACTATAATATTTTATCCAAGAACCTAGGGTTCTGAGAAAGATAATGTTTCCACACAAATCGACCACCAAGAAGAGGGGCAATTTTTAAAGATGGAACATGTGTTCTTTTAAAGACAGAAAAAAAAAATAAAGCTTCCAAACGATGTCTACGTTTTCATCCAGAAAGCAAAGCCCGAAAAGAAAAGAAAAATGTAGTTTTTATATTCAGACAAGCTCGGGAGTATCTCCGTTTGTTCAAAATAAATTGGTATTTTTAACCAAAGGACTTGCCCATAATCAGACAAGAGGAGTTGCTCGGATAGTAAGAGTACCCTCCACCTCCAAGTCAGTAAAAAAAAAAGACTTACCCATTATCACAAATCATGAGCTCTCCTCCATCTTTACATTGAAAACACCAATCTTCTGCAATTTCGTTTTTGTTGAAAATCCTCCTGCCGCTGTTCTCCGCCATTTATAGCAGAAGGGTTTCTTGAAAATAAATTACCAGATGCCTGCTTCACTGTAATCAAGAAAAGCACCTTATTTAGTTCAGATAATCAAGACTAAAATGCAGATATGGCAATTCTTAGGGTATATCTTTTTCCCTTTTAGAAAAAAATCAGTAGAAAAATTATACACACTAACTGATAAAGAAAATCAAAGCTTGATTAGCCCAAAAAATGAAATACCCATAGAGCAAAACATACAAGAAAAGAAGGCTCTCTTACCACAAAATTCTAAAAAATCCCAAAAATCATAACAAAAATTATAGATTTCAAACCCTTATGGCACCCATTGACCTAAAACAGCGAATGCCGTTTTAATCAATTGAAAGAAGTCCACAAAAAAGAAGATTTATTTGACTGAAAAAACAGATCTATGGGAAAAGTTAGTACCTTCTTCAACAGAAAGCTTGAAACTTTTGCTCATCAACAACATCAACAATTGAAGAGAAAATTGGGGGTTAAAAAATAAGAGAGATTTTCTGAATAGGCTTTTCAATAGAAGAGAGTCATGTTAGAGAAAGTTTTATTTCTTGGGTTCTAGAGGAATCTATTCTTGGATTAAAGGTATAAGTTACATGTGAATTGCTGAATTATAAAATTTAAATTATTCTTTAATATTTATAAAATATTGTTATTATTCCTAAACTATAATACTTTCTATCTAACATATCCTGCAATGCCAAATAACCTAACCTAATTTATCCTTTGACCTTTAATTTGTCAATAGACATATTCTTGGATTCCTAAACCTATCCTTTATCTTTCATCAAATGTAGGGCAATGACGAAAAGAAAAAAGATGGTGAAGACATGGACGAAGAACAAGAGGAGAAGATTGAAGAGGAAGATAATAATTTAGTGATGACGGAGATTGCAATCAAGTATGTGGAAAATCCCTCTGCTTCCCTAACATGACAGCCATATTTAAATGAACTTGAAATCAGAATACTTTGTGTTCCTCTAGATTGAATTATACTTGCATTGCTTGCCAATTGTTTGTATACACAGATCAACATCATTAAGTGACACTCTCTATAAAGTATGTATTGAGCTTATGTCTATTGAAACTCTTGAACAATTGTACAGAATCTTTATGATTACGATGAAGACGACTACAACATGAATGAAGATAATAATGGTGGTACGGTCCAATTTGCAGTTTCTTTTCTTTCTTCTTTTATTTGATGCAGTGGTATTTGTTACTTCTTATTTCCCTTTTGCAATGCCTATGGATCAATACTAAACAACTTGTGTTGCAAATGAAGCCATGTATTGAAGGTTGCTTGGTGGAGTGGTCTGTGCATGCCTTTGGAAATTTTTCGCAAAGATGGAATTCTTTAATCACTATTATTGGACTTCTACAAAGCTCGTAGGCCTAGTAAATTAGCAACAACTACTTAATTTTGGGCAATCAAAAAAGAATATTTTCTTGTTGTGTCATAGGGATTATCAATAGATCAACGACCTATATAGTAATTTAAAGACTTTTCTTTGTAATGTGGATGCTCCATTTGTAGTTAAACATATTTATTTAAAATAGATTTCGGTTGATAAAACTTATGCATATCGGATGTTTATATCAAGTCAATAGATGTACGCATGTATTTGTATATAGAGTTATTTCACTTAATCATATATATATATATATAGTATGACACCCTAATTTAGGATAAGAAGTCTCACATCGGTAAAGCACACGAGAAGTGTTGGGTATATAAGTGACCAGGCCTTACACACTAGTGACACATTTTAAAGCAGTATGGGTCTAGACCCACATTGCGACAATATCACTAGTGGGCTAGGCCGTTACAAATGCTATCACAGTCACGTCTGTGTTAGCCTTGTCAATATGGACCAGTTAAAAAGACAGCAAACCTCAGTGCTGAACCTAGGCAAATCCCATGCGGCGGAGCAAACCTCACCGAGGAAGCTGAGTTCATAAGAGGGGGTGTCACATACACTCCAACTTAGGATAGATGTTGGATAAATAAATAAGCAGGTCTTACACACTAGTGACACATTTTTAAGTCGTATGAGTCTAGGTCTACAACGGACAATATCACTAGTGGTTGGGCCGTTACATATGTACATATATTTCTCTATTATATAAGAGCGAATTTGAGGAGTTTAGGGTCAGTTGATCAATTAACCGATTTTTCCTTCTCCTCAAATTTCTTCTATTTATATTTAGTATTTCTTCATTTATTTTTATTTTTAGTATATTATGTATTTAAAAATTACGTAAAATTAATATTATTATTTATTATTTATTTTAATTTCCTTTTTAGTTATTATGTATTAAAAGATTACGAAAACATAATACTATAAATTACAATAGTTAACAACTTAAAAATTGATTAACTCTCGAAATTTCACCCGTACCACATAAATAAAAGAGTGAATAGATGAGCTAAGGGTCAGTCAGTGAATTGGTCGATTTACCTTTCTCCTTCAATTTCCTCTATTTATATTTAGTTCTTTCTCTGTTTTAATTTATTTGTCTTACTAGTACGCTATGTATTTTAAAAATTATGAAAAAAACAATATTGTAAATCACAATAATCAATTACTTAAAATATTTAGAAGCACATAGAAATTTAGTTGACTCTCAAAATTTCACTTATGCCACATAAGTTTGGACTGAGGGAGTAACATATATTATTTGAAAATTATGCTGAAAATATTATAAATCACAATAATTAACTATTTAAAATATTTTTAAAATATACTAAAAAATTGATTAACTTTTGAAATTTCGCGTATGCCACATAAATTGAGACAGAAGGGGTAGCATATATTATTTGAAAGTTACGTTAACTAAGAGTACCATAAATCACAATACTTAATAACTTAAAATATGTTTTAAAATATATTAAATATTGTTTAACTCTCAAAATTTTACATGTGCCACATAAATCACAATAATTAACAACTTCAAATATTTAAACAAATATATTAAAAAATTTGATCAACTCGCAGAACTTCAGATGTGCCACATAAATCACAATAATTAACAACTTCAAATATTTAAACAAATATATTAAAAAATTTGATCAACTCGCAGAACTTCAGATGTGCCACATAAATCACAATAATTAACAACTTCAAATATTTAAGGGAAAAGGGTTCGAAATATATCCAAACTTTGACCAAAATTGCTATAACAATCCCAAACTTTGGGCAGGACCTATTACCCCCTGCACTATTTAAATGTGTCCATGTGGACATCATAAATATTGCATCATTATAAATAGTAACTTGTCCAGGTGGGCACTTATATATTTCTAAAATACACTATTAAATAGTGCAAGGGTAATAGGTCTTGCCCAAAGTTTGGGATTGCTACAACAATTTCGGTCAAAGTTCGGATATATATTTTAGACCTTTTTCCCAATATTTAAAAAAATATTTTAAGAAATTAATTAACTCTCAAAACTTAACATGTGCCACAGATATTACTTGAAAAGTACGTTAAAAATATTATAAAAATAATTAACAACAAAAATATTTAAAAACTTAGTTGCCTCTCCTAATTCTAGTTGTCACATAGAGTAAAACAAATAAAGTAATATATATTGGGCCCGGGCTTTTGTATCTAGTACATATATATATATATATATATTCACTTCATTAAATCACTTAATCATAGTTAGTTGATATGGTTTGGTGCCAGTTTGGGTTTTTTGAGCTTCTGGTCAGTGTACATATGATGTCATTGAAGATACAAAGTTATTCAATCAAAGCTATTGGATTTAAACGATATGGAGTATCAGTGTGCCTCTTTACAAGGGTGATCAATAAAGTATATCAAAATACCTTACAGTTGAATATTATTAAACTTAGCTTGCACATTAGATGTAACATGACTCATCAGGAGTGACTTCCTTTTATTCACTATGTGCTGGTTGAGCAGTTTTATGCTCTCCTCAGTCGCTAGACACATGCCACACCTACTTGTCTGGATCCTCAGCTGCAACACTAGATTTTCATCCTTTTACCAACTCTTGCTATTATTTTTTTAACATGAAAGAACTTAGACAGAGAATGCCAAGATCAGTTGGAGAATACTAGTATATAGGATATTTCTGGCTATCTGATCAGACAGAAAGATAGATGTAATCTGATCCTTGTATGTATTCTTAAAAGGAATGCATGATGCTTTGAAGATAAATCGAGATGAATTGCGTTCTTTCAAAGAGAAATTTTAGGTGTGTTTCTATAAACATTTGGTGATAGTTCAGGTAGGAAATTTGCACACTTCAGATATGGAACTCGAAAAAACTGGAATACTTTAGGTATGTTTTTGACCCTCACTCGTAAGAATATTAGTTTAGATCATTACCCAGAAAAAAAGTTATCCCAAATTAGTGACCTTAAAAAGATAACCAAGGCATAGAGTACCATAACTATTTAATTGCTGACAAACAGAAAATTGAATTACAAAGGGAGTAATTAGTGTTGGCAAATAACATCTCAAATCAATAACAGAGAGGGAAGATTAAGGTGCAAATGCTACACCCTTAAACACAAGATTAAATAGCATGTTTCCTGAGAAAAATAATAACCCCAAGGGCAATTCTTCAGATTTTACTACACCGCCACTATGTGATAGCAATAAACAATTCATCTTTCATGATATCTAGCCTATCATGATTTGATTATATGCTATATTTGGAGATCATATTGGTGCAAGGATTAAATTTAAATTGAAAGATTGCACTTACTGGGTATCATCTCCTTCATATTTTCGCAAAAAACTCCCCAGAAGAAGAACACAACTAACTCTGTTTTCGAAATACCCTTCGAGCATCCACCAAATCATTCTTCAAATAACCAAGCTCTTCTCATAAAATTGCATTCCCAATATACATATTCGACATTGCCATTCCTCAAATCTTGAAGAACACACCATAAATTCGCAACCCAAAACCCTACTAACCATATTTTTCCTTGATCTCAAACACTGCATAATTCTTCTACTGTAAAAACAATACTTTCCAACACTTTTTCTCGGAATAATTGCTGGGCAATTGTAATCGTCGGAGAAGAAAACAGATAGACAAATTAAAAATAAAAGGGCTTATATATCCTCTAACTATTTAAAATTGGTAAATTTTACCCATTATTATGTTTTTAGTTCAAAAACATCCTCACTGTTACCTATTTGGCTTAAAAATTCCTTCCAACTATCGAAATAACTTTAAAATGTTACTCTAATAACACAATGTATTAAATTTGATTTATCTTATGATATAAATTTTAGAGAGTTAGTAAACTAAATTCATTATTATTAATGTAGAAGAATAAAGTTTAAATAACAATTTTAGAAAAAAATATGTGAGATCATCATAATCGAATATATATATAAAAAAAAAAAATAGAAGGAGAAGAAGAACTTTATTTATCATTGTTTTTGTTGTTAAAATGGAAAATGTTTGTATTAATTATTTTTTGATATGTTATTATGTGATTCATGTATTGACCTCCTTATTCGTATCCAAAAAAGTTTTTCTTGTAGATATATTATTTAAAAATGAATCTTTAATGACATGACATGTCAATTATGAGGGAAAGAGATTTTTGGAGTGTTAAATATTTTTTGAGGAAAATAATAATAATTGAGTAATATTTTTGTCTTAAATAAAACAAAGATGATATTTGAAAGCAATTATTAAAACTTGAATGAACCATTTAAAAAATTAACTTATATATTATGTATTTGAGAGCAAAAATTGTTAGAACTTGTTTACACTTTATTGCATCATTTTGTATTTTACAATATTATGGACTTAGATCAAAATAAGAAAGACTAGCCTAATTATTATGTTTTTATTTAATCAACTATGATCTTAACAATAAAAGTTCTCATAAAGCTTTATACATAGTAATATGAAGCATGACTCGAACTAGTGTTAAAAGTAGGAGAAATTAATTTTATTAATAATTTTTACATGTTGTTATAGTTCCAACAATTATAATTATGGCTCAAATTGAAATTCTTACAATATGTTTGTGATTCAAAATTGTTTTAATATGCATTCTATAACAATTGATATGAAGTACACGTATAACAACGTGATAAAAAAACATTACCTTAAAATTTTTAAATTATTATATTTTATCATTAGTCTAGTTTTTTTTTTTTTGTAATTTATCAAGTTTAGAAATTCCTTTTTTAGTGATCGACATGTCAAAATTGGGTCTTTTGGAAAAGCTGGATCAAAAGTCTAAGGTTAAAAACCTCTTGTAAAATATTTCCTTAAAGGTATTTTCACTCTAAATGCTTCGGGCGATGATGAAAAGAAGAAGAATTTATTAGGTGTTTGGTACGATGGAAAACCTTTTCTGAAAGAAAATATCTTTTCTAGAAAAAACAATTGATTTCTTAATTATTTTCTTGTATTTGAAGTACAATTAAAATATATTACCGTAAAAGTATTTGTATATATCTAAGACAAACCTACGAGGATAAGGCGGGGATAAGGTAAAGGGGGAGAATATGCATAACACAGGGAGATAAGTTGCATTAAGTTGATAAGAGTACACCATATACCCTTGATCCATTCTCATGAATCATCATATGATATAGGGTAAGAGCAAATGCAACTTCAAAATGCCTTCACCAGGCTTTCTTGAAACAACTAGAGCAGTCTGAAAAAAGTCTTAACTGGCTGTAATACAAATTACAAAGCTAGAACTGAATAGTCTTTGTAGCAACTAAAATCAAAATACCAAAGTAAAACATGCAACAGATAGAAGCATCTTCCCTCCATTAGAGACGGGCTACTAACGTTCTCCAAGAAAGGTTTGACAACACCAATTTGACCAAGGAAGGAGAAGATGGGGAGTTGCTCTACTATCAACCAGAGCAAGATGCTCCATCTTCCTGTTCAGATTTGAATGGCTCTACCTCCTCTGGAATCACTACAGGATTAGTCAACAGCTTAAATGATAGGTACCAAGGTTGCTGTAGGATGTGTCTTTTCTCCAGAGACTGCGTAAGTGTAAACACCAAGTGGGTTAAGGAAACACTTCTCTTTCTTTGCAGAATGGACCAGGATGAAGAACAACGAGACAACAGTACACACACACAAAATTAGGGCATGAAGGATGAGATGATAAAATTGGTGTACAAAGAAAGTCATACTGGTGACCAAACACAAAAGCTAACTTCCGAATCTGAGCTAAATTTCCATCCTTGGGACTGGTTTGGTGTTCTGTCAAATACTATTAATTAAGTCACCAAAAAGAAAAACAAAAAAAAGGATATTGATCTCTCCATCCTTTCTCATTTGCACGATCAATGCGGTTCTGCAACAATTGCAGCTCTTGAGCAATATTCTGACATTAAAAGTGAAAGTGTCATCAGATATTTAGATGTTACCCAAGTATATTGATTAAAGATAAAAATAAACAGGTCGCTAATATTTTCATGTTACTGATATGGAAGCTGTAATCAGTTTACAACATTTGATCTATGTTGCACGATAATATTTTGTATAATCATATGCCAATGGAGTAAAAATTCGTAAAGCTAAAAACTACCCGAATTAACAAGAAGTTCCTAAGGAAATAAATTATCCAAATCTAAAAGTAACTTTGTAAGATTGAAAACATACGTGCTTTGTGATGTCTTCATGAAGGATTTCAGCCTTTTGTTCAAGCTCCACCTGCAAATAGGAGAGTAAGTTTTATAGTAGTACTAATGGAATTGGAGTTCAGCTGAATCATTAACCGGAAAACTCGAAGAATTGAGCTTACATCTTTTCAGAATCGTAGAAGAGTAAAACAAAAGCATCAACCCTCTAATAGCTCAATGAGCTAAACCATTTAATAGAGGTGACACACAATTCATAATGGTGTCGGAGAAACCAAAAAAAAATCGATTTGAGCCTAATTGAAAACTCCCCCATGGCTCAGGGAATATATCCATGCCGACAAGGGAGGAGAGTGAAAAAACCAAATGCAAATTATAACGAAGTATTCCCTTTCTAGTAGCTTAAGATTTTAAATGAAGTGGTACGAATTCAAAAGGACTCTCCATATATAATAAGAAGGGAACTAGAAAAGCACTGTGTTAAATTGGTAAACAGGAAGATACCCCCAGTATCTCCCACACTAGGCAAGAAGTGCACTGATCCACATAACCCACTATTGAATCATGTTGTTTGGCTGATCAGCGGTAGTGTTCTAGATGAACCCATTCACTGTTCAGTTATACTCTATTTTGCGACCTTCCCAATAATGCAATTCTTGATTGTCTTATGCTTTTGGAGAAAAAGAATATTCAAGTAACATGCGGATGATGGGAAAACACTTCTTTTGAGGTGGCAATGTAGAGTTTGCTAAAAAGAAAAGATGACAATGGGTTTCAGAGAGGAATGCATTTATTTAAAATAGAACACGATGATAAAGGCATGCTAGCAGGCACTGTTACTTGGTGAAGCCAAAACTGAGGACACTATCTAGTATATGGAATATTTAGTGCTAGAGACCATGACTTAAGAAACTAAACCATCAACTTGTTCGCACTACAGTGAGTCATTTTCCCATCAACAACCTACAACAATATGGGACAACCGGACAAGGATTAGAAGAATAAGAGGATTGAGAATTCACTTGGCCACACCAGTATTCTCCCTTGATCAGAGTCCTTTCTAAAACTGGTTAAGAATTGAGTGCCACAAACCCAGCCAGGTTCTACTAGATCCTTCCCACCAGAGGGGTCACATGACAGGACATGAAGGATACATGAATATGACCAAGGGTAGTCACTCTTAGGGAAAGGATGAATCCTAGAGCAAGGCAAGAGAGCATGAGGTAAGTTGCAAGTAGCATGCTGCCTGAAGAGCTAGCATCCACTCAAAATCCTTATTACAAGCTCTACGGATATATAACGAAAGAGAAATTGGGTTGTTCTAGAGGCAACCAGAACTTGCACCGAGCAGTGCCAACAGAGAGATCACTTTTTGGACAAGTCATTTTTTGGGGGTATATTATGCTGGAAAATAGTTAAAACATATTAAAGCTTGAACTCATACAATAATATCTAGACTATGTTTCAACATAATAGTTACGTCAAACTGCAAGCAAAGAAACCTTACAATTGTTAGCTTTTTCAGCAAACCTGCTTTCACCTTCTCTCTAAAAACATTACATTCTTCCTGAGAAACAGAAGAAGATGTCAAAATACATTGAATTTCAGTTAACAACAAAAGCTTAGAGTGAAACCTATTTTAACGCTACTAACACCAAAATCTGAGACAACCAATGACAAAAACTTCTTGAAAAAAAAGAAGATAAAACCTTTTATCTTTTAAAAGAGCAAATCAAAAATAACCAACATCCAAAAGTAACAACTTTTTTGCAGTATGCTTTGAGAAGTTTGGAATATAAACTAAGTAAGAAGAGCGACAAGTATTTGTACATGGCAAAACTTTGATCAAGTGTTGTGTATTTTTGCTCCCTCAAAATGAGCAGTACTGTAGACTTCAGAGCAGGCATACAAAAATATTCACAACTGTTTGCTATATATATAGCTGATTAGCTGAAAAATCATGTCAAATTAAAGGTAGAGTTTGCATAGACAGATGCCCTCAAAAGATGAAGTAGGTTACCACAGAAATCTCAGCATCTGAAAGCTTGGTCAAGCTAACATCTCCAGCCATATTGGATACTTGAATTGAACTTTCGCTGTTGCACATATCGCTTGATCCAAGCTTGATCCCTGAGAACACTCCGTAAACAAGAACGATGTCAGTTTGAAAGCAAAATTGGTGATCAAGATTAAGATTTCAATGGGAAGTAATGTTCTATATTAAGACTTGGAAGATGAGAATAAGATTATGATCATTGCCTCACTCTCTCCATCCAATTTACTTGACCTACTTGCTTTTTTGTCTTCAAAATTTACTAAGCTTCTTTAATAGACCGATTATCATAATTCAGCACGTCACATCATTTCATCAACATATTCCACTCTATTCACATATCAAATTTCTACTTCAAAATTTATCAAAATCTTATTTAATTTATATTATAGTAACCTATTTTAAATTTTCTCTAAACCTTTGGAGCTAGTCAAACTACGTTTTCTACTCATCTTCTTTGGGTTGGAGAGAGTAACCTTTTTTAGTTTAGCAACGATCATCCTCCATCCTGAAAAGAGTGGTATGATCCGGAATCAACTCATTTGATCCTCTATGTGAATTGCGGCGTCAACGTCTTATTATTTTAAAAATAATATGTACATATTTGAAAACTAAATATTCATTACAGCTAATCACAAATATTATTGTAAAAAAATCTAACCAAATTATTTTAACACATCCTAGTCAAAGAAAGAAACAATTTGACTCCACAATAGTAATAGTATTATACAACATGGGCAGACAAAGTATAATATATTATAAAGAAGGTTTATATAATCCAGAAAAATATAGAGGATGTTAAGAATGAACTCTTAGCTCAATATAAACGCACAACAAATCTTAACCCAAAGGAAATTCAGTTCAGGGAAAGATGAATAAAATGAGTTACGATTTTCAACGTTTACTTCATGTGCTTGATTAGATTATTAATGTCATGATAACCACATAAGTGTAAACAAAGTTGGTTGAGAAAGCATAATCATTTATTTTAGAAAAAAATAGGTGTTCTGGCTAATTGATGTCCAATAATCTAAAAACTCTATATGGAAGATATGAGCATAGTGCAGCATTCAGACATATTCACAGTAGCCCAACGAGGGATGCTAGCCATTTCAAGACAAATCAAAGAATGAAATCATTTGTTAAAACAACCTGTAATTTGCATAAGCTGATGAGAGTTACACTGCTCAGAATCACGTGGATCTAACTTGACCCGAACAAAACTTCCTATAATCTTGGTTTCAATTGACTCAGGCTGCTTGATCAACTCCATTACCAAGCTCTTCTTCAGGTAAATGAGATTGATATTTTCAGGAATCAAGGTTGCAAATTGACTTTGTGCTGCAGTTGAATACCAGTTTGAGGATATCTTGTTTTGTTCAACTTTTACCTCAGTTTTAGGAGCCACCAATATTTCTGTGTCATCATCTTCAAGATCATCATCAAGCTCATCATTTTTTAATCGTTCCTCATTATCAACAAAATGTCTTTCGAGGACGCTTAATATTTTGCGTCTGTTTACCACTTTCTTCCCAAAAACAGCTTCTAACTGAACATCACAAAGGATCCTTGTCTTTTTAACTGGATGGATAAGGCTATGATCTTCTATATATTTAGTTACTATCGATGACACATCATATTTCGATAATTTTTCTCTGGTATCTTGACCAATAAACTGCAGAAAGTCAATTAGAGCTTTTGATCCCCATCCAACAAATTCTTGTTTCTTTGAATTGTTTTTACTTTGCATCTTTGTTTTCAGCTGTGTGCATCTTTTCTTTTTAAGCCTTTTTGTCTGAGATTCTCCATCACTGAAATCTTCATTGTCCGAAGAAAGTTGTTCATCCTCTTTCTCACAATGTTTATCTGAATAAGAGTTAATTTGGCAAATCTTCTCCTTGTCTAGTTGAGCCTTACCAGCAAGAAGTTTATTTTTATCAATTCCTTCTTTTGTCTTTACTATCTGATAATACTCCCTGAAAAGACCCTCGTATGTTTCGTGATCTCTAAGGTCTACACTTTCCTGGAAAGCAACAATTGTTCATAGGAGAAATGGAACAGAAGACTCATCAACTAGAGGAAAAATAAAGCAAATAAGAAAATAGACATATCAAGCAATACAAGAAAGACAAATCTAACTGACTATTGCCAATAAGATAATAGTGATAAAAACAAAACACATAATCTCACATGATAATATCCACCCATATTTACAGGAAGCCTAGAAGAAAAATAAATACAGGAAACAACAAAATGATGAGCAAACCCACACCTATTAAATACAACTAAGATGTTCAGCTGAGCTTCTCTCTTGTTAAACCCATGTGAAGCTACTCCCAGAGATGAAACTTTTAAAATTTCCATAAAATACAGCAAACATTGAAAATTGAACAAGAAACTTAGTCTTTTTACATTTATAATCTTTCACTTTTTCTGATCACAAATGAATATTTTGTTTTAAAGAGAAACAGATAGCACATCTCATACTCTCCTGCTGTCAAACTTGTTGCCTCTCAAGGTTCTTTAAATACATGGCTTCATTTATCTGTCTATCATGAATTTTAACATAATTATACATCAATGTTGTAAAGCGTCATGCTATTAACTTCCAAGTTGTTTTCCTTGGCTAGTTCAGTTAATAGTTTCCATGACAAGTTCTCTTTGGATTTGAAAATAAAAATTTCCAAAACAGTAAAGTAATTAATTAGTTAGTACTGAACCAAAAATTACAGTTTTAGAGTAACCAAAATAATCATGCATACCCCATCAGAATCAATATTCTTGTCTTCTTCCACAAGCAATGCAAGCTTTAGGCAGTTATTGCATAATCCATTCTTCCCTTTCAGATGGACAAAATCGATTCGACCAATGCAGTGAGAGCATGCAGCTCTATCACAACAATAACATTGATAATATGATTTTCCATGGCAAATTAAGCATGTATGCCGTCCTGGAACACAGCAAAACTGAAGTTACTTTTCACCCAACAATTTTTATTCTATGAAAGGAAAAAGCAATGCATGACCAGTGAACTAACAAGACAAAACAAGCCAACAATATTAAAGGACTCAAACTTAAAATATTTGAATGCAATCTACATTAAAACCAATTGGGGTGTGGCATTCCTTGAATGCCTGTGTGAATGCAAACATTCTTCTTAGAAATAAAATGTATTCGCAATGAATTCTGAAGTAAAATCTTCCTCCTCCCCATACTGATGTATTTTCCTAACTTGACTTTTGGCGTCATAACTAAGAGAAAAGTGTATAAGATCAGTTGTTAACTATTTGTTTTTTGAACCACATGAGATCATATATTAGCTTTTATTTTATTAAGGAGTGGAATAAGGAAAACTGTTTTGACCTGGGTAAATGTGGTCTGACAAAATATTTAATATGTATAAAATACATAGAACTATCTGTTTACTGAAATTAAACTCCAGGGACTAAACAAATATGGAAGTAAAACTTTCTTTATTTTAGAACCGAAAAAGTATATATTGATATTTAGAAATATGCAAAGTCATTTAAAGGATAAATATTAAGAGGCTTGCCACAAATCCAATGTTTATCACTTGTCCAAACTGAGTCATCTTTCTCCACACATGCAGGGTGATAAGCTTTCAAACATTTCCTGCAAAATCAAAAATATATTATTTAGTAGAAGTCCATGTAAAGAAAGAATCACCAAGCCACAAGGTAAACGTCAGCAACAAAGGTAATCAGTCACAGCGCACAGTGAACTTCCTTCACTCATTGAGTTACGAAAAAGAAAGGAAGGAAATTGCGAGTAAATGAACCCCACCAAACTGAATTTCATTTTGTACAAGGATTGTGTAGTGAAAATTACTTACATTTGTTAAATTAGAAGGCTTGCTTGCCATTACTTAATTATAGATTTTTTTATGCTTCATAAACGTCAAGTTGACATCAGTGAATCTACAGATCCGGGTTTCATGGAAATCAACTTGACATTAGCGAATCTATAAACTTTGTGTTCTACCGAAGTAAATGTTCCCCAAAATCCAGGTGAAAACCACCAAGCAAAGGGGAAATTTTGACCTTAAATTGGAAAATGCGTCCTTTTAGAGCCAGAGAAAGAAATTAAAAATGTTTCAAAATGATGACCATGTTTTTAGTTATTCCATCAAATATACCATAAATAAAATTGATTTTTTTAGCAAAACGACTTACCCATAGTCACAAATCATGAGCTCTCCACCATCTTTACATTCAAAGCACCAATCTTCTGCAAGTTCTTCTTTGTTGAAAATCTTCTTGCCCCTCTTCGTCGCCATTTGTAGCAAAGACCCACTTCACTATAATCAAGAAAATTATCATGTTTAGTTCAAATGATCAAAACTAAAATGCAGATATGGAAATTGTTGGTGTAATTTTTTTTCCCTTTTTAAAAAAAAAAATAGGGCAAAATGGTCTGATGGACCCTTATACCTGTATGCGTTTGTATTCCAAACCCTCCTATTCAACACTTTGTCAACTAAATTCTTAAACTCGTTAAAACACTATATTTTAAACCCTTTTCTCATCAGAATATTGTGTGTAATCCAATCTCTTACACTGATCCAATTACCTGTAATCGAAAGTATAATATCAACTAGAAGGATGAACCTTGAAGAAGAGGATAGTTATATCAGGGCAATTCAGAGATAGAAGCTAAGAAAGAACAGAATAAAAGCGAGAAGAAGAGAACTATCATATATCATTCAATGCCTTAACAATTGTATTAAATCTCTATTTATAGAATTGAATTGGAAGTTAAAGCTACAAACTAACGAAATAGCTGCTCTAACAAATTCTAACAAACAGTGAACAGTAATTACTATTTTGGTGACTAATGACCAGTAATAACTACTATTTAATATTCCTAATCATCTAAGCATTGTATCATACACATGTAATTCCATGTCATTTTTCAATGACACGTAAGAAATTAAATATTAAGAAAATAAAAAATCAAATATTTAACTTTGAGAAAATGGTCTAAAGCCCCCCGCCGCCAACCTATACCCGAAATCCCAACTATACACTCCAACTTTACGGGTGTCCTATCACCCACCTGAACATTTTATTTGTCTATTTACTCACATTTGAGTGTTGACCTGTCATAGGAGGTGAGAACACCTTTTCTAGGCGCATGAGAAGAGGCAATAACTTTAAATTTTGACGAAAAAAGTGTACGTCTCCAACGGTCATCTTCCCCAAGTTAAATAAACCATTTTTCCTTCTTCCCCACCATTAACCCTTGTTCCTTTTTTAAAAATTTCACAATTTTCTTTCAATTTTAAGGTAGGTTTTAGTTGTTTATGTTCATTTCTACTTTAAATCTTGAAGTTAGGATTTGTAATTTGCTCTAATTTGAATTTTAAATTTTCTCGAAATTCGTTAAAAATGGCAAATGAAAACTTGAATACGCTTTGTATGGATGAATCAGACATAATATTTCACACAATGTTGCTCTTAATTTCACGAATTAACAGAAACCTTAATAAAGCACAAACTCGAAATAAGGGACAAAAAACTAACCTTTACTAAATCAGTTGATAAACTACGTAATCAAGTTGAAAATACACACAAAAATGCTTCGATCATCACCAGAAATGCTTCGATTCAAATGGAGAAAACGAGATGAAAAGCTTCTCTTTGGCGGGGTTTTGATTTGTTGCAAAGAGGAGAGTGGGTTGAAAAAGAAAAAGAGTGTATAACGGGTGATTTTGAAGAAAAAAAAGAATGGATATGGTGAGTGATTTATTTGAAGAAGAAGAGAAGGGGGCAGGGGTGGGGTGGGAGAGGGTTAATGAAGAAATTAGTTTTTTAATGAAAAATAATATTTTTAAATAAAATATAGTGTATTTACGCGCTTGGAAGCAAGTGTATTCACACATTTTTCAAACTCAACAATATTTATGCCACATAGATTTGGCCAATGGTCAGAGGGTTTTCAAATATTGTGTTTTAATAAGTTTAAGGGTCCAGTTGATAAAGTATAGAGTAAAAGGATTCAGAATACAAAGTCATACAAGTATAAGGGTCTATCAGATCATTTCGCCAAAAAATAGCAGGCGAAATGGTCTGATGGACCCCTGTATTTGTATGAGTTTGTATTTTGAACCCTTATACTTGACTCTTTATCAACTGAACCCTTAAACTTACTGAAAATCGATATTTTAAGCCCTTCTGACCATTGACCAAGCCTACGTGGCAGTTTATTTATTGAGTTGGCACCAACACGTGATTTCACGGGTAGAAGGAGCGTGAACTCCAAATTTTGGACTAAAATAATGTTTTTTTTAAAACACCAAAAATAAAAGAAAATTTTAAAAAACCACTTCTTTCTTCTTTCCCTCCTAGCCCACCCCATTTCTCTTTCTCTCTCTAATTACCATTAACTTCTTCCCCATTCAACCCTCATTTCCTTTTTTTTTCTCCCCTTCCCACATCTCCAATTTCTCTTTTCTTTCCTTTTTTCATATTTTATTTCTTTCTAGAGAAACAAAAATGTGTTGTTATGGTAGATCTATTTTTCCTTCTATTTTTCTGGGTTATTTACAATTCATAAGGTGATAAGATTCAATAATCTTGAAGGATGAAAAGTGACTGTTGAATGTCTTTGTGAAATTAGATGAAATGTATTATGTAAAATTGTGTACAAATATTGTGATCTATCGTGATATTTTAATGGTGATTATTGGTATTAATGAAGAAAAGAAATTTATGTTGGTTCAAATGGATGATGTAAATGTTGGTAAAAAAAAATACGATTAAGAGTTATGAATGTTAGAAACTTCGAGAAAAAAATGAATTATGATTTTTACGAACCTGAAGAGCCTGGTCATAACTATAGACAAAAATCAGACATGAAGAAGGAAAAAAAAAAAGGTGAATAGAGATGGTGTTAATGGTGGTTGTGGGTTTAGGAAGGTGGGGGAGGTGAGAGAACTAACTATTTTTTTTTATTTTTATAAATAGAAGATTTATTATTTTTGTCCTTTATGGAATAACATTTTTGCTTAATAATTTAAAAATATTTATGAAATAATTATGATATGGAATTATTATATCTGACGTGGATATGACATGTCATTTGTGTAAGAGAGAGTGAGCTCCACACATGGTTCGAGGGGTTTAAAAGTCTCATTTTAATAGAGTTTAAGGGTTTAGTTGACAAAAGGTCAATTAAAAGGATTCAGAATACAAACGCATACAAGTATAAGGGTCTATCAGACCATTTCGCCGAAATAATATATACATTAACAGACAAAGAAAATCAAAGCTTGATGATTAGCCCGGAGAATGAAATACACATTAACAAACACAGCAGAAAAGCAAGTTCTCTTAACACAAAATTCTTAACACAAAATTCTGAAGAAATCTCAAGAATCATAATTTTTTTTTATATATTTTCAAACACTTCTAGCACCCATTGACCTAAAAACATGAATGTCGTTTTGATCAACTAAAAGATGTCATAAAAATCAAAATAAGGAAAAAAAATCAACGTTGATGGTCCAACATAGACGCAAATCACTGCCTTCTTCATCAGAAAGCTGAAAAGTTTTTATCAGCGATACCATCAACCATTGAAGAGACAATTGGGGTAACGAAAAAAGAGAGAATTGGGGGTAACGAAAAAAGAGAGGATTGGGAGTAACTAAAAATAGAAAGATTTTTCTAATAAGGTTTTTTTAATAGAAAAGTCCAATTCAACAAAGTTATACTTCTTCGATTGGAGGAATCTTTTCTTGGATTTTAGCAATCAGTTACTTTTGAATTTTTGACACACACTCAACAAGTAGACAGAAGAATGGAAACATTTGTCAATTTGGAACTACGACGATCAAAATAATGTTTAGTAGTAATTACTTAAGAAATGTTATACTTCAAAAAAGTTATGAATTGCTGACACACAGTCAACAACTAGACAGAAGAATGGAAACACTTGTCGTTTGAAACTATGACGATCAAAACAATGTTCAGTAGCAATTGCTTCAAAAATATTATACTTTAAGAAAGTTATACTACTTGGATTGGAGCATGTAACATCTCGCTAATTGAAAGAACTAGAAAGAGTTAGAATTGGAAATAGTCATTTTAGGAAAGAATGAAAATCTTGGGTTTTTGGTCAACTTCAAACAACCATAACTCCTAACTCAGGATGAGTTAGGTGTGTTTCCAAATACCGTAGGAAAGATCGTTGAATTATCTTTCAAACGCCGCCGAGTTTGCGCGATTCCAAGTTCGTATGAGTGAGATATCCCCATTGGAAGTTGGGTTGTTCGAATAAGGAAAGTCCAATCCGAATTTTGGAAGGGTAGTTTGGCCTTTTCCTTACCCTATTGTTTTAATTGAGTTTTTGGTAATTTTCTAAGGGTCTAAACTGAGTTAGTTCAGTTTATGCAATTAAGAAATACGCTAGGGCTTTGAGAGAAGAGAAAAAAGGAGAAAGAAGAAGAGAAGCTCAAGATTCGTCAAGTTCTTGCGATTTTGGTTGTGGAATTTGCCAAGGATTTAATCCTACGAGGTATGTGAGACTTTCATAGCGTTGGGTTCATTCACCCACGCGCCAAACATGTTTGTTTCAGCGATATTCGTTTCTAGAAAGTTGAAAGTATGATGTTCTTGAATTATGATCTTGAAGTTTGTTTTAGTTCCTGAGATTTGATGGGATTGTGGGGTTCTTGATGAAATCGTGTCGATTTAAGGGTTGTTTTGGGTTAGATTCTTGTGTATATATACTAGGTATTTGATCCTAAAGAGGGATTGATAAAAAGAATCGGATTTAGGCGAATTGGGGTGAGAAAACGAAGAAGGAAAAAGTCGAGCGGGTTTTGGCACGCAAGTCCGCGTCGCGGACTTGCTCCCCCAATGTACAAAAATTTCCTCCGTGTCGCGGTTAGGACGCGGGATCCTCTATCTCAAAATTTAATTTCGCAATCATTTATTTAAATGCATCTCTGCGTCGCGGACTTGCTCCAAGACGGTGATTTCTTAATCTTTTCTCATGTTTAGCTATCTAAAAACACTCCTAAACATCATGAGATCCTTCCTATCACAAATCACAATCCTTGAATCCATAATTCAATTCAAGGAAAGTTATGAGTCAAGTTTAGAAGTCAAGAAACAAGTCAAGAGAAGTTCATAAAGTTTTTCAAGAGTCGTTTACAAACGTTTTAACTTTGTTTTAAGACTTAAGTTTTGAGTTAAACAAAGAGTAAAGAGTTGAGTTCATTTCTTCACAAGTTATAAGGGAACTAAGTATTCCCAAGAGTTTAAAATGTTTTCACATTTGAACAAGAAAGGGAAACACCGATTTCTAAGAGAGCTTTTAAGCTAAATTTTGAGTAATTATCTCAAATCAAAGAAAGATTTTTGTTTTTACAAACATGAGCTAAGTACATTTTGGGAGTAGTATTGAGCACCGATTTGGGGACGCGAGTTCATAATAACTCAAGTCTTCATAAACCATGTAGCCATCATGGGTAGTAAAGGATCATACTTTTCAAATGATTCCTTAAGTGCTTTTTAGCATAGACTAGTGGATCCACTTAATTAAGGAGTTCTATATGACGGCAAAGTATAGGACAATTCTGGCAGCGTGGGCAAGACGTTGTATCACCACTTAGGCTCATAGTGGTGGTTGTCGGTTAGAGAAACTCCCACAGTATTATTATATTACTTTTATGTAATTGAGTTGTTTTTGAATGTCTTTAACATGTTGAGTTATCAAGTATTGTTTTAAATGCTTTGTTTAAACTGCACTTTTATTGTTGTTTTACTTCGCATTTGAGTTAAGTATTCAGGAGTTGAGTAAGGCCAAAGTAAGTGTTTCTTTCAGACTCTTTTCAAGCTTATGTTATGTTTAGCATTCCAACTCGCATACTCGTATATTCAATGTACTGATGCCAGTTGGCCTACATCGTCTTATGATGCAAACGTAGGTAACCAGGATCAGCATCCAGCGCCTCGTTGATCCAGTTGAGCACTCAGAGTCAGTTGGTGAGCCTCCTTACTTTCCAGAGGGTCCTTTTCATAATTGTTTAGTTTTCAGTTGTTAGGATGATTGGGGGTCCTGTCCCGACATCCCTCTTTGTTTTAGAGGCTTCATAGACAGTTAGTAGTCAGTTGTCTTTATATTATTATTTCATATATTAAGACTTGAGTTGCCATTTTGGCCAAGTTGAATGTTTGATCTTTAAACGTTCTAAGTATTTTATTAAACAGTTGAGTAGAGATGCATTGAATCCTTGTATTTATGCTTTTAAGTCTTCCGCTGAGTAAGTAAGTCAGGCCAAGGGTTCGCTTGGGACCAACAATGGTTCTCGAGTGCCAGTTCCGCCCAGGGTGTAGGCTCGGGGGGTGACAGAGCAATCTACTATTGTATTACAACACTCAATTACTCATGAATTACTAACACACAATTACCTATCAACAACTAGTCAGAAGAATGGGAACATTTGTCAGTTTGGAACTACGACGATCAAAACAATGTTTAGTAGTAATTGCTTTAAAAATGTTTGAGTTAATACCTCAAAATCCCTTCAAATTATTCACATTTTATCAATTTATTATTTAAATAATTGTTTACTTTTTTTGTTTGGTTCAGGTGTTCCTGCTTTATGAAGTTGATGGAAATTTGTTTATGCAGTTAATACTTTATCTCTCCTTTTAGTTATTAAAGAGGACCATAAATTTCCGTTCGCTCCCTTTCATCTATAAATATATAGAGAGAGATTAATGCTACTGTCTGATGGAACTTACAAGTTTTGTGTGCTTTCCAAGTTTATGCTCTTTTTTTTTGTCAAAATAAAGTGATATTATCCCAAGAAATTAATTTTAAAAAAAAAAGAGAAATAAAGAAAGAACCACAACTATAAGTAGAGGAGCCAAGTCAAACAACATAGAGGGATAAGTACAAGGCAGCAAGTGCAGCCCCAATGAATGGCTCCACCTAGCAAATCTACTGCATTTTCAAAATAAAGAAAAAGGGGAAATCTTTTAGCTACTCATAAAAGTTAAAACAGCAATGAAGAGATCAAGAAATTGCTCATAATCGATAACTACGCCTCAATCTCAAGCATGTAATCACTGGCTCTATGAATCCTTATTGTGCATGTCGCTCCATTAAAACTCGTCTTAGTCATATAGTATAACTATATCTTTTAAGAAAAAATATACTCCATTTGAATAATATAACTACATCCGCTGATGCATAGAAGTAGAACTTACATGGTCATCCATGCATGTTTTCCGTTGTAGACAATGGCAGCACCTACGCTTCTAGCAGGGTTAATGCCAGTGTATTTAATAGGGATGGTGGCCAAATGAACCAAGAACACAGCAAATCCAATCGGGAGAGGAGCCAAAATCTACAGAACACAACAATGAGTTGGTATACAAATTTAATTAGCTCAACTATAAAATCTAAAGCACAAAACGAGAAGTCAACTATAAGTACTCACAAGGACATGGGAGTGTCTGGCATTTCTCTGGGCAACAGTAGCAGAGAAGACTGTGTAGACAAGAATAGAAGTGCCAACAATCTCATCTCCCTTGGTGTAATCATGGCTCACAACATTGGCACATCCACCCTTAATTTTAAAAAATATGGTTAGAACCCTTTGACAACACCAACACCACAAAGCATACCTAGGCATTGCATCACAATGTAGAGCACTGCCCTGGTTAGGGACAATTTGCTTGCTAGAAACAGACCAAACGTGGCCACCTGATGATCAAAGCCATGAATTTTCTCAAGGTCAGAACACAGAGAATAAATTTAAAAGTATATAAGTTATATGCACTGGTAGTATAAAGACTTCTTGCACTATTCGTGTAATTTAACCTATGTAAGCAAGCTATTTACCAGTTTTACTAGGTTGTCATTTAATTTTTATCGAAGAAATTACTTGTAACTACCTTGTAAGTAATCTGATCGTGTGATAGAACTTAAAACTCAATAAAAACCAATTCTCCGTGATCTGGCCATCTTTGGCTAAAGTACTACTTAGAACTTAATCCAGCTCTATCAGAAGGAATAACTATTAGTATATCTAAAAAGACCATAACAAGTAACAACATTGCATGAAAAAGAATCTTTTATTCTCCAAATGGTCCAAAAGGGAAGTGTTAATTTTGTTGTACTGCAAAACTCAAGAGGAATACTTTAGACAAAGAAACTCAAAAAAACTGGTAAAGAATGCAACTTGATAGATTTTCCTTCTTCATTAATCAAAGAAAACACAGTAAAGTTCTTATCTTTGAAGTAAAATATCACTAATAAAGCTTAACACACAATCAATTTAGGAGAATACATAAACTATGGCGGTAAAGAAGTATAGCCACTAAAGCTCTCATCTTTGAAGCAAAATATCACTAATGAACCTGATAAAAGAGACTATAACTTTGAAAATAAACACACAACTTTAGACAAATACATAAACTATGGAGGTCAGAAAGATAGATGCCAACAGTGCAGTAAACAAGGGCAAAAAACATACCACCAAAACCCCAAGCAATGCCTTGAACACCAACAATTCTACATGAGCAATTAGCCCTTGGGTAACCCATTACAGTTAAAAGCGTGTGAATTTATGAATATGCAAGTGAGAAAAGCTAACTCAAGCGTCTTATTTGATGATCCTCTCTTTTTTCTATTTCGTATTCCCCTTTTGCCTTTTCTCTTTCCTATTAAAAATGGTGTCCTGCTTTTCCAAGTTGATGCACATTGGTTTTACCTCTCTCTTCTTAATTTAATGTGAAAATTTCATATATGACATATATTACTCTAATATTTTCAAGTTATAGCACTAGAATTAAATTTTCAAGTTGTAATAATAAAAAATTTCAAGTTGTAACAGTTTCTTAAAAAAAAAGCTTTTTTTAAATAATTGTAAAAATTTGTTTTGAAAAAATTAAAAAGATTAAAAAAAAAAAATCGTTTCTGAAAAAAAAAATGGTAAAAAAACGGAAATATGTGTGTTAATTAAATTTGAATTGATTGAAGATAATTACTAATTAGCATAAATTAAGGAAATTCAAACTAATTAAAAATATTTAGTTTCCTTATTTCACTCTAATTTGTTAAAATTAATTAAAAATTCTGATTTCATCCATTTTCTTCCACGTTTCTCTCTCTTCGATTTTTTTTCCAGAAATCTTGTCACTCTCATCTAATTCATATTCGTTTTTATCCAATAATCTTTATTTTCTGGACAACTTCTTATTAGTATTAATAAAACATGGTGGTAGATGGGATCCTTCAGGTTAGTGTTCTTTGCGATTTTTTAATTTGAATTGTAATACAAATCAAAACGTTCAAAAAAATTATGAACAATGATTCTGGAAAAAAAATATTCAA